TTTTAAAAAAGTTTCTCGCTCGCCTTATTTGCAGGTTTGCGTTTCAATTCGGCGAGAAGCAATCATAATAATCTGTAGTGAAAATAGCCGCGAACTAGCTCCGTAATATTTTCATCGTTTCCATCATTAAATCCGCTTCATTACGACTATCTATTTTTAGGTTGAATGTGCGAGGTCGAGCGAGGTCCGATATCGAAGGACTGCTTTTTCCGCGACTTGCATATTTTCCGAGCTGAATTTCATTACAGCCGCAACATCTGTATGTTTTCTTCGGCGACTTTTCAATTACCATTCCAGCAACGCGTTTTGTTTGTCCTGGTAACGTCGTAATTTGTTCGAAGCCGCATCACCGAGATCCATTATTGCGATTCGAACGAGTACATTTTGTACCGGAAAATCCTCATTCGTCTATTACCGACTTTTTTTTTAATTAAATTTCTGGCCCCTTTCTACCGCGGGATCGATAACAAAAATAGAGTTTTCCAATTAAACCGGAATTTGGTCAAACGGAAAGTCCGAGTGACGCGGAAAATTAACATGCACCAGAAATGCAGCGTTGCCGAAGCCGAAAAATTAGCAGAACAACCGGGGAAATCCCCTAATGAATTAATGGCTTCGCGGAGGAATTAATGGTTTTAAGGAGTGGCTTTTGCTATAAATTCCGTTACTAAGTTAATGCCGAACAATTCGTTATAAACTTCTCGACGTTTACAGAAAGTTTACGCTGCTGCTGCGGCGACATCTAGCCGCGGAAAACTTTCCCGACTCTATTTCCCTCCTTCTAACAGCGATAAGTTATATTAAATTTGTCTTATCGATTGCCAGTTTTATTTAATCGAATAATCGATCTCGAGTCGCTGGAGAAACTCGTTCCCCGTTTTCTAGCACTCGAGTTTCGAGGAAATCGGATTAAAAAGCGCAATAAATACAGTAAGTTAAATTGTATTTCTTGAAGCAATACGAAATATATAGTATTCGTAACGTCATAACCGTGTTAACTTGAACAGGGTATACTTGACTATAGCAAAATGTTGGATCTAGTGTCTGACAACTACAAGCAAATAAATTTATAAAAAAAAGTCGAGTGTTTGGTTTTGTCCGTGGTCAGTACGTTGGGGAAGTAATGGGGTTTCGAGTACATCTTTCTCGAGTGTAGAGTAAACATCGGTCAATTTCCACGAGGAATTTACCTAACCATCCATCTCTATAGTCAAGTGTACTTGTAGTTTGTGCCTTTTCAATGCTATTCTGTTAGCTACACTATATTGTATGAACAGTTATTTATACCATACAGATACACCTCCGCAAGCCGGAATTTCGCTGTAAAATTTCGAATAAATTGTAGCACGTTATGAATTTATTTTGCGAGATTTTTAATTATGTAATCCAGCGGGCGTGTAGCAACGCGATCAGCTTCCCGACGGGTTGCTCCAACATTTTCGCTGAAAAACGATTTCTTCCGGCAATAAAACGTTTACACGGGTAATAAATTCAGCTCATTTCAGCGCGACATTTTGAATTTACCTACCGCTAAAAGCGCCATTAAAACAAGCCCGGCCGACGTTTTTTTATTCTTATGCGATCTTACTTTGAGCCCAGCATAATAATTCCGGCGGAAAATCGAAGCGGTTCCGGTGCGATAATTTCAATCAACCTAATTTCCTTAGCAAGTTTTCCCTACATTAATAAATTACAGGAGTAGGTACTTTCAAATATTAAATAGCATCGTTAATGTTGACTTGTCAAAAGTACTTGTAAAGTGTCAACTGTCAGATGTCAATTGATAAATTTTTGTCTCTGTGTGTCCCTATATATCAAATGTAATTGTTTCGGTAAGCCTGTTAGATTAATTTCGTTGGGAAAAGGCTATCGACGGTGACTGCAAAATGAATTTAGTCAAAATTGGGTGCTATTAGTTTATATTTCGGATCGAAATCCAATTAAAACTTATCCGAGTCGAAGGAAATCCCGGCCGAAGGATTCGCTTTGTTGTTGCAGAAATGTAAGAAAGTGATAAAGGTGAATGCGGGCAAAAAAGAGACAAAATTGGATTTTTTTGCCCTCGAATTTTCTTATTCCTAATCGCAACGTCTATATATACGCGGATTTTTTGATATTTCGCAAATAAGATAAAAAAAAATTGATCCCTCGTACAAAACACGTCGTGGGATGATCACATTTTCCTTTCATGCAACAACATCGATAACAACATCAAAAATATACAAATCTCGTAAACAGCGAAATCTACAATGACTTGTACAGAAACTACATGTGATTTTTACAACATCAATTATCTCCCGCAATATCGCCGCAGGCTCGCTCAAAGGGCCTTGTACCTACAAGGACCTTGCAGGTGTATACACAGAGTAAACTCATTAAGCACACCCTTCCTGCACAAGCGCCTCCACAACGCTTCTACGCCTTGCATTAATTGCTAATTAAAGAAAAATGGAATATACACGATCGGAATAATCGGGCCCCTTCCCTTATTTGCCTAATTGAGTAATCAAAACTTGCGGGTTGGCCCAATTTCGATGCCGCCACACATTGTATACAGGTAAGTGCAAAATTTGGTGCTATAGACGCAACAAAGATAACTACTATTAGTCTCGTACAAAGGAAAAAGAAATGGGTATATACAGTATGTTCCAAGATCGGAATCAAAGAGGGTTCTGAGATGACATTATTATTCTACCACCCTGTAGATAAACACATTCGCTACCGGTGTAAATTAATTTCCATTATATGACGGAATCGTTAAATCAATGCGTCGAGTGAAAACATATTCCGAAATAAATGTAATAATACTAACGATATTATATTCGACGGCGAAAGCCATTTGGATCGATAATTTAATTTATTGGAAATAAACAAACGACCTGCGAAACGCAATTAAACCAAATGGATAGATATGGTAATAACGAAGCGAAAATATTCCAAAAAAAAATCGATCGATCTGCCATCAATTTTATGTGCAAATACCTCTCTATTATAATACTCTCACTTGAGGGATAATTGAATCAATTGGACGCATAAATTAAGGAGATAAATGGCTATTTTGAGTAAATAAACGACCCTTTCGATGGATAATTGACTGATTTAGGTAGATAATTGATTATTATTATAATGGACTCTCGGATAGACAATTAATTACTCTTGGTTAAATTCCCAATTAAATTACATTTTGGACATCTGATTCGACAATAAAATATTTAATTGTTATCGTTATGTTTGCCTAAAGCAAAAGTGTTCCTTGAATAATAGTATTATCTTAATTAGTTATTCGGAGTGTTTGTTTTTGCAGAATTCCCTTCCACTTGTACCGGGAAATTCGTTTCCTTTATCAGATAATAACGTTGGCAAATTAATGCGATTAATTCGAATCAATATGGGAAATAAATCAAGGTTGAATAATTAGCGAGTCGAATTAAATTATTATTAATAATAATCGCGCTGCGCAATCGATCCAGTAAATAATGAATCATTCCAACACAAAAAAAAAATCTTTTCCACGTTTCTTGATATTTTATGTGCGACCTTTTTTATGTACCTATACCGAAAGTATTTCGCCCGCATTGTTTGTATTCCGAAAGCGTCCGTCCCAGTCTGGTTACTGGATTTTCATGCATCACTTTTACCTAGCCGTAAAATAAAAAAGAAATCCAATGAAATATTTACAGGCCCGGCTCCGTTTTTCTTTCTCCCCATCCCGTTCCGCGTCCTCGTCCCTCCGGCCGCGTCCGTCAGGATTCCCCATTCCGGATTGGCAACCGCGCCAAGTCGAGTATTAAAAAGCTTCCTGAATATAAATGCGCGCCGAACGCGCTTCGCGGAGCTGCCGAGAAAGCATTTGCAATTTAGAATGCGTGTAAACAGCGGGATTTATTCCTGCTCTTCGATGCGAAAATGCCCGCATTAAAACGCCCTGAATATGAATGAAACAGACGCGGGGGGCTCTTTACAGACATTTCACCTGTAGCCCAGCCTCTATTGGATTGGCTCTTTTCGCAATTCCCAGCTGTTCCCCATTGTTTTATATTCTAAAATTAGAGATTGGTTTGCTAAGAGAAACCGAGGAAATTCGCGATTGTCAAATGTCAACTGTCATATGTCAGTTGTAAAATGTCAATTAATAGATGTCAAGTGTCAGCTCTCAACTGTCAGATGTCAATTTTGAGATGTCAACTAACAAATATCAATTGTCAGAAATGCCTGAATTAAAACGCGCTTAATTTGAATAAAAAAAGCCGCTCTTCTTCAAAAAGGCCGGTAAAGAGCTTTATTGGATTGGCTCTTTTTACAATTCCGAGCATTTTGTATCGTTTTTAATATTCTTTAGCAATATTTCGCGATTAAAACATTTTTAATTCGTCCATCGATTTTCCTTCGGCCGTAATCCGGCGAAATCGTCGAAATGAAAACGTTAACCCGTCGGCTTTCGAAGCACCTTCTGAGATTACTAAAAATATCCGCGTTATCCTCTCGAATTTAGCGGGCCGGACGAATTTGAATCGATATGAATTTCAATCGGGCGACGATTCCGCTCCGTCCTCTCTCCGGTTCATAATCGAATCTCCACTCGACCCCCCAATTCGCCGGAGAAAATGGAGTTTTTCGATCCCGGCGAAGAAAAAAAACCTTCCGACACGCGAAAGCGATCTTCAGCATTACAACGTTTCGTCAAAATTTCCCGTAGATTTTCGCGTACGTGACATTATACGAAATGAATCCGCCAGTTGTTAACAGTTAATTTTTTCGTCGCTGGAAGTTTGTAATTGTCTCGGGAAAACTCATCGCTTCCTTCGGGACGGGAAATGTACCTACCTCGCCTGGGGCATTGGAAAATTAATTTACCAAAGTGTTAACATTTCCTAACAACTCATAATTATTTTTTTTAAATATTAAATACTCTATTATAGTATCTACTAATGAATAGTACTTCTCGTACAATTTAATTACCGTATTAGAAAAAAAAAATAATTAATAATAAAAAAACTTACCAATTAATGGGCCGAAAGACCGTTCAGTACGGGGGACTCGATAGAAGCTCTGAGTGCGATTTATCACCGGCTGGGCAACCCTTTCGCCTCCTTGTGCTTGGTCATTAACTTGGGCGCTGTGTGAGAGCGTTTGGGGGATCCGGGATCGCGAGCGCGCCTTCGTCGGATACCCAACAGGTTGGAGCGGAGCGGTCGGGAGAACTGCTCCGGGAGCGGACCGCCCGACCGACGGCCGGTGCTCCGGGATCGGAGTCGGCGCGCCGCGGCGCCCGCTATCAACATGTGCGTCGCGGCGCTCCTTCGGCTCCGTCTCCTCGCCGACGCTGACCTGTTGTCCTCCGACGAAATCGGCCACTCAACTCTCCGGATAACGCCTCTTCGAAAATTGTGTTCTTAAAGGACGCGAGAAATCGAGGAATCTCTTCGTTAGAATGATTAGCAGAAATTCTCCCGATTTGAAGTCAATGGGATTTTTGAAAACCCCGGGCGCGGGTGAGGGGAATCCCCCGGGAAGTTTCCTCCACCTGCGCGATTTTCTTTTTAATTTACGTAATGCGGAAAGAAGTAATCCTTTGAAATAAAGTCGATTAAATTTTGTGAAAAGGCCGGGAATAAGACGCGGCTTCGCAAACTCCGGCTAACTTAATTTATCTCGGTTGATATTCGAAATTTTAATTCCGTCTACAACGTTTCAATTTCGAGAGGTTTTGACGGGGTTTTCGAACGGGTAGTGGCTACGAAACCGGTAACTTTTAACACTTCTTTGGAGGAGTGGAGGTGGCGTATCGCGAAATCGTCAAGGCGTTTTATTCGAATTGTCGGGTCATGGGGGCTGCGATACGTTTGGGAATTATACGAAGATAATTAATTTGACATTTAGGCCTTCGATAGACAAAGGGCAGGCTTTTTTCTCCGTCGAAAGATGGGAAAAAAAAGAAGCGAACGGAGGGTTTCGGGTGAGCGGAGAACCAATCTACTTTCCATTACCTAATCGGTTTGTTTCTATTTTAACGAATAAGGGTATTTTTTGAAACGATGTTAGGTTGATTAGGTAGCTGGAAACACCCTAAGTATAGGTGTGATTTTTTTTAGGAAATAAAGGCAATTCAATAAAAAATGTTTATTAATTAATCTGTTATATTATAAGTGTCTACTTAACTACGTATAATTTTGAGAATAACACAAAAATACTTGGTTATGAAGAAATAAATAAAAAAATCACGCGATTGCGTATTAGTTCAAACGGCGAAAATAATTTTCCAATCCAACCATGATCACTCTGAAAATTTCCACTTTGCAAAACAAATACCAAAACACGAACGTGAAAAATATCGTTCTGACGGTGTAATCCAAAACTCGCAACCTGAAATAAAAACAGGAACAAATTAATAAAAATCACGATGCACACACGAAGCAATGTTAATACCTTCCCAAGAGTTTCTTTCCCTTCTCCTTGTCGAATTCCTCCTTCAATATATATATTGCGGACCCCCTCTTCCCGTTTTTGAAGTACTCGAATTTAAACTCGTGCGTGAAATCGTTCAAATCCACCCCGAACGTTTGCCTTTCCTTCTCATCGCCCAACACGTTCATCACATCGAGCATCTTCTGGTTCGAGAACTTCCAACTGTTGTTCATAAAATAGAACAAAATATTGTTCGCTATGTATATTTTCCTCTGTATGTTTATCAACCTGCCGACAACACAAATCAAATCAACATTTACAGTACCGCGATAGTCAACGGTACTCACATGGGCTTCCTGCCGACGAGCCGCAGCACGATGTCCAAGAAGAAGGCGGGCAGCATGTGGAAGAGCAGCACCTGGATGAAGTAGCTGTACCAGCATCCGGTGATGCTGAACCTCGGGTACCACAGGATCACGTTGTAGGGGGAGTACTGGACCAGCTCGGCGCCCATGTCCAGCATCTCGCCGATCGTGGTGTTGGCTAGGTTGTTCTGCGCGGCGTTGACGACGGCTACTTCCTCCAGGTTCCTTCGAGGGAAGCATTTATTCGACAATCTTCCCGATTGTAACACCTTCTATAATATTTACCTGTTTAGCGATCCGTATTTGTACGTTGCCACTAGCATTCCTTTGACTATGTAATCGACGGGCATGTAATCGAGATTTATGGAACGATTACCCAGTACTACCCTTAGTAACCCTACAAAAGAGGTGTAGTTTAATTAGTGTGAATTTATGGCTTTAGTAAAGTACCTTTTCCTCCTGCTACGAGTAGACCCATTGGGCCGTTGAAATTATCGGACCATCCAGGTATGGGTTCGCTTATGGTGGGAATTACTGCAAAAAAACGTCCATAAAATACCTCTTTAGTTTGCTTCTAAATTGTTAACACTCACCGACCGATGGTCTCAATATGATCGTGGGTATCTTTCCTAAACACAAATCGTTGACCACGTGCTCGGCCAAGGACTTGGCAAAGGTGTAGGAATTTGGTAGAGGATCCATATATTTCAAAGCCATGGTGTTTACGAGGCTTTCGTCGCCTTCTTCGGCGATTTTTATGGCGTCTCGCCAATCGGTGTGCGCTGGATACAGCTTCTCCTCCACCACAGGTTTGTCTACAAAAAAATTTGGTGGTATATAAAATGTTATAAACATTGATGAAGGTTGAAGGTCTCACCTGTGTTACAGTAGGTGGTCGACACGTGGACGAATAGGCTGATGTTCTTTAGTTCTAGAGCAATTTTGGCGATTTCCCTGGTACCTCTGACGTTGATGATGATGGCTTTTTTTAAGAAGTCGTCGAAACGCACCGACGCCGCGGTGTGGTAAATTATGTGCACGTTTTCGATCAACAATCGACGGTCAGCCTCGCTTATACCTGGAAAATCGATCGATATTTTTACGAGGTTGGGTTGAAATCGGTTGAAATTTTACCAAGATTCAGCTCCTCGATATCACCGGCTATCGGTACAATTTTATCGAAACTGGCCGGGTTTTCTTCTCTCAACTTATCGAACAGCTGCGAAATAAAAAATGTATAATTCAGAAATTTTCCATCACTCTGCCACCAGAAGACCATAAGCCACCATAGGATCACTAGCAACAAAACTCACCGGCATCGCCTTGATGGTCTCCAATCGGCTCTCCATGCTCTTGCCCTTCTTCGGGCGCAACAGGACGTAGACGGTGCCGATCCTCGGGCAGGACCTCAGCAGCTTCTCGATGAGGACTTTGCCTACGAAACCGCTGCCGCCCGTCATGAACACATTCTTGCCTTCGAAATATTCGACAACACCCATGGTGGCGCAGATTGAATTTGCCGGACACTGACTGGCTTAATTCATCGAATGTATATGCAGTCACTCGAAGGTGTAGTGGCGGATTTTCCGCAGGACAGGACCGGACCCGCTCGAAAAAAATTTTACCGGTTCGTTATCGAATTACCGGCTCGTTTTTGAGGCGTTTTCCGAGTTTTCAAGTGCATGTACTAATATTTCTAATTGCTCGAATTCGAGTAGATTAGATCTAGGTTTAAGAATTTCTGGGCGAATAGCGGGTTAGAGTAGTTTGTTTGGTTGAATTAGTGTGGGGTCCTGTGTCGGGGCAATTAACTATTCATTACAACGGGTATTAAACGAAACGACTTAATGACATTGCGAGTTTCACCAAATAATTTTGAAATATGGAAAAACATTCAAAGCATTGTTTTCTCGTTAATTTTATTCGTTCGATTTTTACAAAGGGTAACGACTGAATGGAATTTACCGAACGACTCGTGCATTAATTGTACCTTTTTGTAATAATCCTATAGTACTGTTACACTGAAGATACGATTTATATTCGAAATAAGAACACGAATTAAAAAACGAATTTTATATTGATAAAAAAATGTACTAAATTCATCGCCATTCGCGCTCCTTGCGTTCCAGTTTCACTCGTTCCTTTTGCTCCCCGGTAATTATGCCACGGAGTAGGTCCTGACGAGGAGCGGGCGCTCCTGCAGGGCCGCCTGTTTCCTGTCGCTCTCGCTATCCGGTTTTTTCAAAGGAGACTTCGACGCTTTCACGATGACTTCCTTTATCTTCTGCTGCAAAGCCGCCTCGTTAGACTAAAACAAACGGACGACGATTGAGCGTTTTGAGCCGCTCAGAAACAACCGGGCGATTCTCTAACGAAAGGTCAGAGGACGAGCTCGCCAAGCCCGCGAATCTGAGGCTTTGAAGACGCTCGTTATGTTTATATAAAGACAGTACAAAAGAGAAAACGTGTTTATATTTGGTTGTTTGAGACACCCGATAGGGCTCGTGTTGTCTATAGATGGAAGTAAAAATTGAAGTAAATCCCAAAGTACACGAGAAATCAACGTCTGGTATATTGCAATATAATGCAAGATGTCCCACATCAAATACCTAGAACGGATAAATAGATATAGGAATGATATTTCCCTTGCGAGTTCGATCGTCTATATCCCACGGGAATTGCGTTCGACCAACTCCCAATAAAAGAATTTTCTATTTATACAGGGTGATGTAAAAATTGAGAGGATGAAGATGATTTTTATCCTCATAAACCGCATATTGTGCAAGGAATAAGTGCATGTAGTTCGCGATGTAGGTCAATTAAATGCAATAATGTTCGGGAAATCGATTTTACTGGAGGCGAAATTATAAAAATACATCAAAGTTAAAACCGGAATTGAATCGAATCGAAAATACTACCTACCGACATTTTACCCTTAATTTAAATTCATTTATGTAGGTACACAAGTAGTCAAACAATGATTTCATTTAAAATTAAGTCACGATGTGACCTGCGGTACAATATTTCAATTCATTTTTATGTTTTTGCTGAATAAAACATCTCTCCCTAGTAAAATAATGATGACGAATGGGTTTAATATTCTCTTTAAATATACCGTCTATAAATAAGCAGGCATTCATAAAAATTTCCTCAATGTTTCCAAAGGGATTTCTGTCGCAATCCAATTAGCAAAGGCTTAACAACCCTTTTCAAATTCCAAATAAAAATGATTGCGCCCGCTCGTAAAAGTCGAGGCACTTTCCATCGATATTTCACAAGGAAATAAATGCCCATCTCTAATCGCATTACGCCAACTTGTCGGCGCGTTTCGAAAATAAATGTATTAATTAAAAATTCCACCTGCTTATTATCCGCTTTACTCGATTAAAATTTCTATTTATTAACGAGAGGATTAATTTTTCGGACGTCGTTCCATTCCTCGGGACACGGATTTTGAATCGTTTCATAGTTATATATACAGGGCGTCCCTAAATTGTATAGGTGACCTCCCTGTGGGTTAATTATACAGGGTGTATCGGGTATAAATACAGTGAATTTAGTTACGTACTTTGGTGAGTTTTTTCTTGCGATGCCAGGAGTAGAGCAAGGAAACCACGTAGAGCAACATGATGATGAAACCACCGACGAGCGCTGATAATCTGGACGATCCGTAGACGACGGCATGGTACAAACCGAGCGCCACAACGAATACCACTATACCAATCGCCAAGGCTTTGCCAGTTTTACGGTGCTCCTCCTGCAATACAACCAATAGTTGGTGTATCCTAAATTCATCGTTCCGTATATAGAAGTTGATCGATTTCAATTTCTAGCAGCGAATCAATTTCCGCCCCCGGCTGAATATACATTCCGGATTAATAAACGGAAGAACAGAGCGGGTTTCGATATGCAATTTCCATTCCGGCCGTTCACCGGAGAATCATCCGCACGGCGAATGAACCGCCCCGCGAGCAAATCAATTTCGGTGGCGCGAAAACGTCCCCGGATGGCTTTCAATTAATCCGCGAAACTGTATCGTTTTCGGGGAATTACGCGCGAGAGAGGCGCCCCGTTTTCCCGCTCTAATTACAACCGGGTAATGATACGATGGCGATTGAACTGCAGCAGAGGCGTCGGTTATATTAATTTACGCAAATATCAAGCGAATTTGGTTATGGAGTGAGATTAGTATCGCATCGACTTGCCTGTAACGAAGAACTTCCGACTTCTATGACGGTACTTAGAGCTTCGGCGCGCAACTTTTCTCGCTCGTTTTCGCTGAACTCCACCATACTTCGCGCGAGGTTTTTTTTTATTTGTGGCTAAACTGGAAGTGAGCAATTTCGACCAGCGAGATCCTTCCGAAAATAACGTACAAAAACGATAAATCGGCGGGGCATGATCATTAATGATTTATATGATAAACAGAGGCGATCGAAACTAAACAACGCCGGCTCTAAAATTTTAGTCGGCGCGCCGTTTCATTCATCTGAGACCTCCATTTTACGGCGTGTTTATCCGAGGCCGGATGCCCGACTGTAAAATATATATTTTTATATTTACGCTGATCCTGAACTTTCCGAAATAAAAGCCGCAAATAAAAACTTGACATTGCACGTAGGTAACTTAGTGTAAATAATAAACAAATTAAACTAAATATAGCGGGTAAACTCATCATAGAAGTACGGTAAGAATTTATTCTCAACATTTATTAATCTCCTTAATACTATTATAATAACACAAACTAAATATTCTGGACATATCAACGGTAGGAATGCAAGTGATATTCATATTTGTATAACTAAATGTCTATTGCTTTGGTTCTTTGGCTTGGTTCTGATCAGATCCATCGTTGGTATTTTCTGAATTCGCCTGTTGTAATTGTTGTCGAATTTCCCTGTTAGCAGTCAACAATTGAACCAGCTGAGCATGTATGGAGTCATTTTTTTGTTCGATATCGTCCAAGGCGGAATTCAAAGCGTCCAATTGATTGTCCAAAGCGGCGAATTCTGAAATAAATTCGTAGTTAGCTTATAGCTATGCAGTTTTTGTGGTAGCTTTACCTTCAGGGGACATTCCCTCGTATATGTCGATGTCGTCTTGCTCTTCTTCTCCGTCGCCACCATTTCCCGAATTACTGTTCACATTGTCCTCACCCTCCGTAGGATTCTCCGATATGCCGTTTAGCATTTCGCTCAGGTCGTACGCTTGCTTGTCTTGGTTTTCTTTGGGCGGTACGATCTTTTCACCCATAGCAAAATCAAGCGATTTTGTATTGACACCTCGTCATTATTTACGTTCAATTTGACGTTTATCATATGATATTATTTCGAGGTTATGTTATGTGTCAAAGTTATTCTTCTTCTTTTACGAATGAATACCTAATTGTTGTTCAGTTCGTTTATCATTGATATAATTTACATGGTAATTAAGTTTGTATTACTAATTATCGTTGTTTGGTTATTTAATTATTGGTTTTGTAGATTAACATCTTATATGGAATGCTAAAAAACTTAAATCATGACTAATGTCAAATGTCAACTACAAGAAAAAGAAGAATTTTATAGGTTACAATTCAAAACGTTTGCCGCCAAATTAGTTTATAACTGTTTTGATTTTTGATAGTTTTATTTATTGAATTTACGTGTTGTTACTGAAATATAGCAGATATGGAAGATTCTCGTAATTAATTTCGCGTCGTATATCGGTTGTCGATTAATTATAATTTAATTTGTAGCTCTGGAAGGAAGGAGTAGCAAGAGAAGTAAGACATTCAAAGCTAAGGCTTCGGAAAAGTTCAAGCAGTTCAAGAGAGGCGTGAAAAATAAGTATGAGGTGGGCGAAGTGGAAAATGTGTACGAAGTCGTCGAGGAAAAGCAGTATATTAAAGAAGTTATGTCGAGATGTGATGATGATTGGATTGTTGGTGATTGTACGTTAACAATGACGCGATATCGTCAGTTAGTTTTGATAATTGCTATATTTTACAGCCAGTGGGTATATCGAAGACGGTAGAGATATATTTGATGATGACTTAGACGTGGAATCCATAGCTCAAGCTTCGACTAAAGGCAAAGGTGTTAAAAGAAAACACAAGAACGTTTCGGAAAATGCTGGTAAGGGAAAATTGCAGCAAATGTTCTCAACCATGCCAACTAAACAGAAAACGGTACGAAGTATTTACTGAACAAACCAACAATTATTAACGATATAAATTTCATTACAGGCAGCTAAAGTCGATGATGACGAAATGCTATCGGAAATCTTGGACGAAATCGGTACTGGCACAGCAAATAAGCCTACTGTCGAGAAACCTAAAATAGACCAGTACTCTACACTAGCGATTAACATATCAGCTAAGAATTACATGAAAAATTTATCGCAACCCGTTAAAAAACGAGCTGTTGAGAAAAAGGTACAGAAAATACAACCCAGTGTACCCAAACGATTTGAAAATTTAAAAGAAAAACTACCCGAACCAGTTAAAATTCAAGCTAAAGAAAATGAAAAGATTGATCCTGATAAAGTTATCGAAAAAGAAACAATGGATCTTGATAAAAACACCGAAGAAGAAAAGCTAGATCTTGATACATCACACTTTGATGATGGTTTAGATGAAACATTACTTGAAGAATTCAACGAAGATCTAAATAACACCGCCAGTGAATCCCAAATAACAGAATCGGAAATGATCGGAGACGATTTCGCAGGCGATTTCGATACAACACAAATAGACGAAATCGAAGAACAAATTAACCTTGCTAGCGAACAACTAATCAACGATATTCAAGCGGAAGTCGAGACTGAATGGCAATATTTCAACAACGCCAACGAAAGCTTCAAAATAGCGACGGGTTCCGAAGACGCTGAATCTTCTTCAGCAATTCCGGCTGATACTCCGTTTGTGAAAGTCGACGGGAAAAATGTGTTTAGGTTCTTCTGGTGGGACGCCTACGTGGATCCGCAACACCAACAAGGAACCGTCTTCCTCTTCGGCAAAACCTACTGCGAAACCTCCAAGAAATACGAAAGTTGCTGCGTAGCCGTAAAGAACATAGAAAGAACGCTATTTGTTTTACCCAGGCCTTTTGTACGTATTTACATAAGGTTTGCATATCGTGCTATTAAAATTTGTTTGTTTTTTAGGAACTAGATGAGAACGGTAAACCCACCGATAAACCGGTTACATTTAAAACAGTCCACGATGAATTCAACAATCGTATATTAAAGCGAACAGGCATTACATCTTTCAAATCGAGATTGATCACGAAAAAATACGCCTTCGACGCGAACATACCGGCCGAATCGGAATATTTAGAAGTCAGATACCCCGTTAGTGTTTCTTCGTAGAACCAGTATAGCATTTAACTGCAATTTTTCGCACTTCCAGGCGTCATTTCCGCGGATCCTTTGCAACGAAGACCGCCAACACGACGACGACGAATCCACCGACAACGACGATCTCGGCTACGGCACTTTCTCGAAGATATTCGGCATCAAAACGAACTTCTTGGAGTCCCTTTTCCTCGAACGCAAGATCAAAGGGCCCTGTTGGATCGACGTGTCCGATCCCGAAGCGGCCGCCAATCCGATGAGTTTCTGCAAGTTCGAAGTGAACTGCCTGAAGCCCAACAACCTGAAAATCACCCCGTTCGAGAAACCAGTTCCTCCGCCACCCCTCGTAGTCGCCACCATAAACATGAGGAACTGCATCAATCGAGCATCTTCCAACCACGAAATCGTCATGTTATCTTGCTTGGTGCAAAATCGGTACGCTGTAAACAAACCGCCTCCGGAACCCGCTTTTCAACACCACTTTTGCGGTGAGTATTACATTATAACAACTCCAGTATTACAGTATTTTTAACAGTATTTAGCTGCCCGGGAGGACAAGTCTTGCCCCTCAACTTGTACGATACTCTACAAAACTACAAGATAACGAAAGTGCTGAAGACCGACAACGAAAAGGCCATGCTGAATTGCTTCATCAACAACATCGTGCAAATCGACCCCGATCTAATAGTAGGCCACAACCTGCAAGGATACCAAACCGCCATCTTGGCAGACAGGTTGCTGAAATTGAACTGCCGCGCTTTCAACAGGCTGGGCAGGCTGAAGAAAAGGGCAACGCAAGCCAAGCAATTGGAGAGAACATTGTTCTTGGGTCGGTTGGTTTGCGACGTAAAAATATCGGCGAAAGAGCTGATAAAATCCAGATCGTACGATTTGGACACGCTCTGTCAGGTCGTGTTGAAGTTGAAGGAGAACCAGCGGGTCGATCTGGAGCCCGAGGATGTGTTCAAGATGTTCAAAACGTCGCAGGATTTGATCAAGTTGATATCGTTCACCATGCAAGATTCGGGCTATATTATGAAAATGATGTACAATCTGAACATCGTACCGCTGGCTTTGCAAATTACGAATATAGCGGGTAACGTGATGTCCAGGACTTTGATGGGAGGAAGATCGGAGAGGAACGAGTTCCTGCTGTTGCACGCTTTCCACGAGAAAGGGTATATTCTACCGGATAAAGTTTATAGGAGTAATGAAAACGAATCGAAAGGGAGTTCTAAGAAGAAACCTACTTACTCCGGAGGTACTGTAATACCTATAAATTTTATATGCACAATTTTATACTACCTGTTTCCTTCTAGGTTTGGTATTGGAGCCGAAAGTAGGCTTCTACGACAAGCTGATACTCCTGATGGATTTCAATTCTTTATACCCCAGCATAATCCAAGAATACAACATTTGCTTCACCACGCTCCCCGTAATGGACTCCGACGAAAATTTAGTACTGCCCGACAGTAATCTACCGCCCGGTATACTCCCCACGGAAATTCGAAAACTGGTCGAGAGCCGTCGCCAGGTGAAATCCCTAATGAAAAAACCGGACATCTCCAAAGAACTGAAATTGCAATACGACATCCGCCAGATGGCGTTGAAATTAACCGCCAACTCGATGTACGGTTGCTTGGGCTTCGGACATTCCAGATTCTACGCGAGAAATCTAGCCGCCTTGATCACCCAAAAGGGCCGAGAGATCCTCGTCAATACCAAAGATTTGATCGAAAAGATGTGCCTGGACGTCGTCTACGGCGATACTGATAGTCTTATGATCAACACTAACGTTTTAGATTACGATCAAGTAAGCGTAGCAATTCGTAATTTGACAAATTTATACATTTACTATTTTTTAGGTATTTAAAGTAGGAGTTAAAATCAAACAAGAAGTGAACAAATTGTACAAGCAAGTCGAGCTCGACATCGACGGCGTCTTCAAGTACCTGTTGCTGTTGAAAAAGAAGAAATACGCCGCGGTTACGCTCACCAAAAGTTTATCCGGCGAATTGGTAGCCACCAAAGAGTACAAGGGATTGGACATAGTGCGCAGGGACTGGTCGCAATTGTCCTCGGAAACCGGCAAATTGGTCCTCGAACACCTCCTCAGCGACCAGTCTTCAGACGAAAAAATCAAAAACATCTACGATCACTTGGCTACCATCAAATCGGATCTGATCGAAGGTAACTTTACATCGCTAGTTATCTATTAATTAACCATTTCGCATTGCAGGGAAGATACCGATACCTTTGTTGGTGATCACGAAGCAGCTGAACAAGGCGCCTCACATGTACACCGACAAGAACTCCATGCCACACGTCCAGGTGGCGCTGCGCTACAACCAGAAGAGCCGCGATCACTTCAGAATGGGCGATACAGTACCATATGTAATCTGCACCGATAACACCGGCAACGGCCCCATGCAACGGGCCTATCACTTGGACGAATTGAAGGGCAATCCGGACCTGAAAATCGACTACGACTATTACCTCGAGCAGCAGATTCATCCGGTGATTGCGAGGATTTGCGAACCTATCGAGGTAGATGATTTATAACGCGAGATTAGACGAGTTTAATGCGTTTATTTCGTAGGGTTTGGATGCTTACCAGTTGGCGGAATGTTTGGGGGCGAATTTGAAGCGAGTGAAGAGGCCTAAGCCTCAAGGGGGTAACGAGAACATTCAAGGAGAGAACGTCGTTAAAGCCGAAGTGAAATTCAAGAACGCTGAGAAATTTACGTTTGTTTGTTACATTTGTAAACACCAGAATGTCGTCGGCGAGCCATTGGTGAGTTCTAAGTGGCCTTTTACTTTGCATGCCTCAATTGTATTATATTTTTAGATGAACAACATCCCTTTCCTGGAGACTTGTCAAAACCCCGAATGCCAATCGAAGCCGATCGATTACCTACCGAGCGTTCAAAATCAACTCTACCGGTCGATCCGTTCGCACATAACTAAATACTACAAGAAAGTGTTGACGTGCGAAGACCCGAGTTGCCCGAACGCTCCCAGACGACTGCCGTTGAAGTTCCTGAAGAAACGTCCCGTGTGCAACATGTGCTGCAACGCTGTAATGTACAAGGTCTACACTGAATTCCACTTGTACAACCAGCTGGCCTACTATCGGTACATGTTCGATTTAAGCAAACTCAAACATAGTGAGTATCCAGCTCGTATTGGAAGCGATTTAGTGATGTAATGGTGTCGTTTTTAGAGCCTCTGATGGATGGTGAGACCGAGTCGGGTTATCGGACGCTTCAAGATACTGTGGATAAGTTCATGAATCAATCGGAGTACTCGCTTATTAATCTGAGTGAGGTGTTCGGCCAGCTCGGTTGGTTCGGGGCGAGTGAAAAGGTTACTGTAGAACAGCCGAGTAATGGTGTAGATTTTAACGAAGAAGGCGTCGAGGACGCCTATGATGAATGAAAGGGAAATATTTGTGTAATTCACCTGTTGGAACTTTGTTTTAGTTGTTAATATCAAGTCGCTGTCGATAAATGTTTTATTTATAATTACAATTTTTTTAAGAAAAAATGCATTATTTATCTTAAATTGGTTTTTGAAGATCCTGTCAATATTTTGGAAATGCATCTAAGTTGAACAAAGAAGGATTATTAAAATCACAGTGGTTAGAATGAGAAACTAACTATTTGCACTTATCTGTATAAAATATAAAGTCCCCATTTCTTGCTATTTGTTGTGGGTTCCATTAAAATGTTAACAGGTGTTTGTGAGATAAAAAATTACAACAAAATTGCGATAATTCAGAAATTTTATTAAGTGCAATGCAACAAACGAACACAACTTACTCGAAATATAAATTTATAAATTCCAAATACCCAATAAAGCAAAATAATAACATAATCTAATAACCTACTAAAATGGCTACTAATTAATGCACCTAAAAACTAATAAATTCAGCTTGAATTAATCGAAAAAAAGATTTAAAAAAATAATGAGCGGTAGAACGCGGTCCGATTTCTAAATTTTATCAAAAACACGAAAAATCGGGCCGCATTCTAGCTGGAATCTAAAGCAAAGCGACCGCGAAATATAAAAAATAGCAAGAAAAAACACCAAACGAATGATATTTAATTGTTGGCCGACAAAAGATTGATGCACCGATCGATGTCAGATAACTGCAAAAGGAATTTCGCATCTCTCAATACGGACCCGGCGTTCCTGATGATGTTCAACAACTTGTTCTCGGGAAGGTTCAGTTGTTCATTACAAATCGTCAATTTCTCCATCAAATCTTTATCGATCTGAAACAAAAACTCACAATAAATATCGCACAACAAAAATCGATTATGTACACACTCACCTCAGATTTCATAACATCGCAGAACTTGATTTTAACGCGCTGCTTGCCCATATTCTGATAGAACATAGTAAACTCATCGCCGTTCATCAACAATTTGAAATAAACCCCGGCAATCAACTCGCCCTTCTGGTCCCTCGACAACAAACTCCTGAACCCGTACACCAAGTTCCTCCGCTCCGTCACGTCAACAGCCGTCAGGTAGTGCCTGCCCGCGTAGATGACGCCCACGAAGTTCTCCTCCTTGCCCTTCCGCGTCGTCCGCTCGTTCCACTCGACGAAGTGCCGGTTGTCGGGCGTCAGCTGGTAGTTGTACTCCTTGCGGATGTCGTTCTCCTCGGACTGCACGAACCACCCGGTGTGCGGGTACGCCCCGTCCGCCATGACGGTGACGACGCGCGCCACGTGGTACCCCGGATCGCACAGCATGACGCACTGCCGCCCGCCGAACTCCGCCTTCAGGCACATCAGCACGTGCTCCTTCTCCAGATTGTGCGGCACCGAGCTCGGATCGAACCTGCACGAGTTCGTGTACCCCACCGGGCTGTAGACGTCCTCCTCGCACGACACCACGCTGATGTGGCTGCCGATGCCGGGGTATTTAGCTTCGAGTTTGTTCCTGATGCGATTCCACAATTCGAACGCCAGACCGACGCAAGTGTAATGCTCCGACGTGATGGGAGGAGAGTACCTGCAAAACGAACCACTCGCTAGATTATGATATAAAATTTGGTGTGTAATTAATTTACATGTGGAAGAACTCAAGTAGGTTATCCATGCCGCTGTTCCTGAACCGGTCGTAGAACCTCAGGAAGTTGCCGATGGTATCGTAATTGTGCTCTTCCAGCACCTTGCGCAGCTGCATTTCGATGTCGCACGCCAGCGTCTCGTACTCCCTGACGCTCTTCAGCCTGTAGGGGACGATGTACTCCTCGTCCCAGCACGGCAATGGCAGCGGGTGCTCCAAGGGCCACACGCCGTCGTCCTGCTCGTCGTCGATGAGCCGGTCCAACGTGCAGCCGCCGCCGGTCACGTTCGAGACATCACCGCGCGCCTCCGCGAAGGCGGCCGCCTTCGTCTTCGACCCTACGAGGGTTCCATCTTCAGACCAAGCGTTCTCGTTCGCGAGTCAACTCGGCCATTCGCAGCCCCAACGGCCCACCGTTGGCTCCAAAGATCTACGCAAAACAAACAAATTTTTACTAATATTCACACTGCAAAGAAGCTGATTTAATCTTGTGAGAGGGGTCTACACTTTTATGTAGACATATGGGAGATGTATACTCACTTGGAGGCGGTTTCCCCGACTGGCAGGAGCGGCCCAACTGCAATGGTTGATGCATTAGACTCGTGCCCAGCTGCATTTTGATCAGCTGTACACAAAGACTTTAACGGCTGTATATCACGCTCTGAAAATTCGAAAAATCATCGTTTAATTCGAAATTGCGTTACGGGTGGACGGTTTTTCTTTGTTTCGATGTTATGCATTATGCGTTGTAACAAAAATCGAATTTTATCGCGCATTTCATTGGGCAATTTCTAATAAAAGCGTAATGATTGCGTAAAATTCAAGGTAAAATGTGGATTCATATTGTCGATTAGAAAGCGTTGATACGTATACAACTGAATCATATTGTTCTGTGTAAACAACGTTTTCCACGTAAATTAGGTAAATACGCAAAATGCGTTTCCTGTAATTAAAAGAATCGTTGACGCAATCGAACGCTGGCGAGTTTGCCAAAAAATTCGCGTATTTTTGGATCGCTTCGTAATAAAAATTTAACAGCTTCCCCAAAGTCGACAAAACGCACGTCGTGGGTCAACAACCCGCAAACCAAAACAACCAAAACAACACTCAAACTCACCCATACAACGGTGACAATGCGAAGGAACAAAAACCGAAACTGGCGCTGTCGCTGTGTTTACTCCGGATTATAGCTGGTGCTGGTGGTCCTCTGCTGGAGGTGTCTCCTGGTGGGCGCCTTCGTCGACGAACTGTCGTCCGCTGGCGGTGAGCGCGGCCGTAAATATCCGGCGGTGCCGCCTCCCTCTCTCGGGCTCCGCTGCGCTCGGGCTCTGCTCGACGTCACGATAGGCTCAGTGGGATCGACGCGCGCGCGATCGCGTTATCGGTAACGGATATTTCGATGTGGGCGAAAAATAAACGAACTTAATTCAATACCGCTTATTAGATACTACGTGCACAGTCTGATAATGGTAACTGGAAATCGTTAAATGTTTCTGGCAACACCAATTTAGAGACGAGATTAGTCTCATTATGAACAACATCTGGAAAATATTTAAATTGGATTAGTTTGGTTTTTTTTTTCGTTTATTCTTACTGTATTAATAAAATAAACATTGCTTGATCCGGTACTGTTTTCGTGTTAATTACTCGGGTTTGTTTTCGGTTGATTAAACCATGTTGGATGATAACGAGCTGATTAATGAACAATTAGTCACGATATGTGTACATGTTTTAAATAATTGTTCACACTTAAATTTCTCGTGATTAAACTACTAGCTTTTAAGTATTTTTTACTTCAACTTGAGAAGAACATTATGAAATTTCCTATAATTATACCCTAAAATTTTAAGAAGTACAGAGTTTACCTAATTTATTTCCTCTGGTAGGATTCTGAAATAAATTTGATACTAAGAGGATTGTGAACACAATAAAAATGCAATTTACTTATGTATGTTTCATTAACAAGAGATTTTTATTTCGCATTTATTTTTATTTTTTTTATTGCGCAATATTTCGGTTTCGAATTCAAATTTTTGCTAGCCCAATTTCCTGCGACGCAGTTTATGATAACAATTAATGATAAGGCTAATGATTACTTTTTTATTATTAGACATATAAATAAGAAAAAATATAATGATATAAGTAATTAAGCGTTTCTTTGTTGCTAGGCACTTTCGAAACTGCGCGTTAAAAAAGCGGTTTTGTAGATAAAAATATTTTGAAATTTTATCTGTCAGCTGTTTTTAATGTTTTCTCTTCGAAAAATTGATCTTATCTGTTTTAATTGTTTCAATTTTATCGTATTTTAATGGAAACATAAACTGTAATTGTTTTTTGTTAAAATAAAATAAACTCGAACTTATTCAAATTACCTACATTTGATTAAATAATATTTTGAGGTCCACAAATCATGCTGTGTAGTATACGTACAGTTTAAAGTGCAAATTCTAATTGAATCTCCTGACAATGTACTGTAAACGGTTTATCGAAATATTTATCAAACAATAAAAATTATCGTAATACAATTTGTCGAAATAATTAGATTTTATCCACAAAAAAAAACACATTTTGTTTGTCGAATAATCGCGCGGCTATTTAAATTTTCAGACATAAAACATATTTATTATGTCTGCATATTTCGAACAACATTTACACAAGCATTTCGATTAAACCAATGTAAAAAAACCTCCTTTAAATTCCCCGTGTAAACCATTAAAAAATCCCCCGATAAGCCATCAAATTCGTCCAAAATATTTCATCCAGCGGCGCCTATTACCTTCCAAAATCTCCGCACGAGCAAGCAATTAATCAAATCAAATATACCTGTATGTAAAATATCACTTCTTGCACATAGTTCCTCTTGCACAATACTCGAGGCGTGAACGCTCGTTCGAGCCAACGTGGCGTCGTCGACGTCGCAATTGTATCGGCCGTCGTCGTCGCGACGCCTTTTATCCCCATCGCGCCCGAAGGGATCGATATCGTGACGTCGGGACGCCGGGTCACGCGTACATTTACGTGTACAGGCACGTTCCTTCGATTTTTTCAGGCCCCGACGATTCTCCCAAGAAAGCCCCATCAAAGGTCGTTAAGCTGCGGCCTTGACGGGGTCGTTTAAAGGTTAGTTTATGTTGATATTGATTTTTGGGTTGTTTAAATTGTACGGATAAGTGCAAACTTGTATATGGGTGCAACAAAGTCGACTTACACGTAAAGGAAAAAGAGAATGATATTGTGATATTGCAACTTTCTCAGTCTGACCACTAGTATTTTAGTAATCTTTCTTTGTTCAACTCGTAGTTTTTGCACAAATTTGCACTTACCCTTATATGGAATCGAAGGGAATGTTTATTGTGCGCGAAATTCTAGTTTCTGTAGAATTAGCTTGATTTTTAAGCATTAATTATTTAGTAAATGTCTCTTCTTGCTGTAAATTACTTAAAACATAATTAGTGAACACTAATTAGTCGAAAAAATTACGATAAATTGCTTTTCTTCATAATTATTTGTGGGCCAAGTCCTGCTTGTTCTTAAATGTTTAGAATGTTAATAGCTCTGTAAAATTGTTAGGTAGTTTGGAAATTCCTACCTAAATACATACATTTATCGATTGCACTAAATCGATTAACCTTCGGGTAACTTCCGAGAAAAAGTGGGTTCATTTAGTGGAACGGATGACGTCGGTTTAACTAGAACAGAAAAACAAGATATTTTTTTTATTAAATCCATCAATCTTGGAATGTCCATAAAGGCAAAAATTGCAACGTTGATAGTACAACACTCTGTATATTTTTAACAGCACTAGGATGAGCATTAACTGATTGCACGATTGGATTTGAGGCGTGAAAGGCGCGTCTCGAATTTCCAGCTTCCAACAGATAAATTGTTAATTATTTTTCTGGCTTGTTAGTTTTATAATCGAGTGCTCGAGTATGGGTGAAAAAGCGCGTTCGAAATCGAGATTTTCCAAAAACAAGAAATCCTCGATTAGTGTGAGAAAAACCAGAGCTAACAAAATTGCAAAAAAGGTAACATTTTTTTATTAAGTTTTATCTAAAGCGGAAACAAACGTTTTATTCTCACTATTTTAAGTGTAGTTCACTAAGAATTTCACTAAAAAATTTTACAAAAAATGATATTTTCCACTCGTGCGTTCAGATTTATCATGCGTTTTCGCTCCACAGTCTGGCGAATCCCCCGTTTTAATCAACCTCCTCGATAGTGGGGCCCTCCTGGTCCCCGGAGTGGCTATGATAACCTCCCTTAGCTCCTGCGCCCCTATGCAATTTCGTCATAATCGGCGAACACACCCTCTGCATCTCCTTCAATTTATTCTCGTACTCGTCCTGCTCCGCCGAAGAGTTCTTATCCAACCATCTACAAACACCAACCAATTTAATGCTAACATAAATCGCAACAATACAACCAAACCTCATGCAATTATCGCACTCGTTCTGCACCTTCCGGCGCTCCTCGGCGCTCAGCTTGCCCCCGCAGTCCTCCAGCGCCTGTCTCACGCCGAACGCGTAGCTCTCCAGGCCGTTCCGGGCGGCGACGCGCGACCTCTGCCTGTCGTCCTCGTCCTTGTAGCGCTCCGCCTCGGCCAGCATCCGTTCGATGTCCTTCTGCGACAGCCGGCCCTTGTCGTTCTTGATGGTGATCTTCTTCGACTTGCCGGTGCCGCTCTCCAGCGCCGACACGTTCAGGATGCCGTTGGCGTCCAGGTCGAAGGTCACGTCGATCTTGGGGACGCCGCGCGGCGCCGGCGGGATGCCGCACAAATCGAAATTACCTATGCAAATTGCCGTTTTTAATCTGCCATAGTTCAGAGAGATGTATGTAGAAGAAGAGTACTCTGGAGGCTACTTGAAAAAGATAACACTGAAGGAGATGCAACTGAAGAAAATATTCTATTAGAGATGAGTATGTTGTAGAAGAATCCACTGGAGAAGGTTCTATTAGATGAGAATTTATCGGAGTAGAATATATTGTAGAAGAATCCACTGGAGAAGATTCGAATGGAAGAGAAGTTACTGGAGATAAATCTACGGGAAGTGAATCTACTGGAGAAGAATCTACTAGAGAAGAATCTGCAAGAGAAGAATCTACTGGAGAACAATCTACTGGAGAAGAATCCACTGGAGATTAATCTGCTAGAGAAGAATCTACTGGAAAAAACTCAACTAGAGAATAAGAATCTTCTGGAGAAGATTCCGCTGTAGATGAATCTACTGGAGCAGAATTTAATAGAAAATAAAGCACCATATACTCACCCAGGATATTATTATCCTTGGTCATGGCCCTTTCGCCTTCGAAAACCTGTATGGTGACGGCGGGCTGGTTGTCCGAGTAGGTGGTGAAGGTTTGCGTTTGCTTGCACGGTATCCTGGAGTTTCGATCGATGATTTTCGACATGACGCCGCCGGCCGTCTCGATGCCCAACGACAGCGGCGTGACGTCGACGAGCAGCACGTCCTGGATCTTCGAGCTGCTGTCGCCGCTCAAAATGGCCGCTTGGACGGCCGCTCCGTAGGCCACCTGCGAGGTTCCTTCAAGGTTAAATGCACTTAGAAAATTACAGTACGCACCGCTTCGTCGGGGTTGATGCTGAGATTCAGCGTCTTGCCGTTGAAGTAGTTCTGCAGGAGCGTCTGGATCTTGGGTATCCTGGTGGAGCCGCCCACCAGGACGACGTCGTGTATTTGACTCTTGGAGATTTTGGCGTCGTTGAGGGCCTTCTCCACCGGTTGGAGGGTGCCTTTGAACAGGTCCGAGTTGAGCTCCTCGAAGCGCGCGCGCGATATCTTCGAATAGAAATCGATGCCTTCGAACAGCGCGTCGATCTCCAACGAAGCCTCCGTGCTCGAGCTCAGCGTACGTTTCGCTCTAAAAAAAATAAATATTCAGATTTTAAACAATAAACGGTGCATCAGCGTGCCTTTCGGCGGCGGTCCGGAGGCGGCGCAGCGCGCGCGGGTTCTTCGACATGTCCTTGTTGAACTTCCTCTTGAACTCGTCGACGAAGTAGTTCACCAGGCGGTTGTCGAAGTCCTCGCCGCCGAGGTGCGTATCGCCCGCCGTCGATTTCACCTCGAACAGCGACCCCTCGTCGATGGTCAGCACCGACACGTCGAAGGTGCCGCCGCCCAAATCGAATATCAGCACGTTGCGCTCGCCCTTCAGGTTCTTGTCGAGGCCGTAGGCGAGCGCCGCCGCCGTCGGCTCGTTGATGATTCGCATCACGTTGATACCTGGAAAGCTCTCGTTCTAGATTACCTGACTCTCGAAAGAATATGGATTAAGAACCAAAGAGATCTGGCGAAGAGCTGGAGAAGCGGAAAGAGTAAACCAGGGAAGGTGACAAACTGAAATGAAGAGGAGAAGGAAAGTTTCTAGCCTGATGAAGGAGGAATCGGAGCATCTTAGAGCTCGACTTTGAAGACTTGAACATCTCAAGATCTCAAGATCTGAATACCAATGGATCAGTTGGTGATTGTGCAGGCACTCCTGGTGTTAATTGTCGATTTATGTAACAAGGACGATGGTCTCAATTTGTTGAAATTAATGATTGAAAGGTGGAGGCGCTTCCTATTTTTGTAAACCATCCGAGGTCGATTAGCGATTGAATTGGAGTCAGTTTAAAGTCAAACAAAGCTGTTGGACCGTTTCGAGTAATAAATAGAACAATATTAACGTCGATCGAGCGTAAATAATGCGATAAAAAAAATAGAAGCATCCCATTTAAGTTGCAATAAATACGCCTACCCTTCGCGAAATCCGGGTTCTCACGCAAAAGGATATTCAAGGATTTTTATAATGAAATGTAGATTGTTTAGAAGAATGGAAATTAAAATTAGTTAAGAGAAGTGCATGTAAATTCCCGAGCGAATCGATAGAAACCAGCACGAAGAAATCGATGTTCCGTACCAACCTGCAATGGTGCCGGCGTCTTTGGTGGCCTGTCTCTGGGAGTCGTTGAAATAAGCGGGAACGGTAATGACGGCGTCTTTGATTTCCTTACCCAAATACGCCGCCGCCACCTCCTTCATCTTGGTCAACACCATCGAGCTGATCTCCTCCGGAGCGAACCTCTTGGTGTCGCCTAAACATTTTCGTATATACAAAATAAAGAGTCGGGAATCTGATAGCGAATGTACCTTTGAAGTGCACTTGGATCTTGGGCTTGCCGTTGTCGTTGACGACTTTGAAGGGCCAGTGCTTGAAGTCCTGCTGTATCTTGGGGTCGTCGAATCGCCGGCCGATCAGCCGCTTGGCGTCGAAGACGGTGTTGCTGGGGTTCATGGCGACCTGGTTCTTGGCGGCGTCGCCGATCAGCCGCTCGGTGTCGGTGAAGGCGACGTAGCTCGGCGTCGTCCGGTTGCCCTGGTCGTTGGCGATGATCTCCACTTTGCCGCCCTGCCAGACGCCCACGCAGGAGTACGTGGTGCCCAGGTCGATGCCGATCGCCGGTACTTTCACCATTTTTTTCTTGACGAAAGGATTTGGAAATTTGGAAACTTTGAATTTGAAGACGCGATTTTGAGTGAAGTTTGCCGCGCACTGTCGGGATTCACAGCGACGTCGCCGCGTTCGGGCCGAATCGGACGCCTTCGGTCGTTGCGATTGTTGTGGAAAATGCAGATGTAATTTTAAATCGACCTCGAAAAACGCATTTGCATGGACTTGTCGTGCTTGTAACTCTTTTTTTTATCGATTACCATCCTACAACATACAGTTAATTAGGTACCTAAACCTATACCAAATTATTTTTTTAGAGGATTACAGCTTCTACGCCACTGCCATTTTTTACATTCTAATCAATGCAACTTTTTTTGACACAATTTAATTATATTATAATAATTATTATTAACAATTCATAACCAAATAATTAATGGTTTCTAAAAATATGCAACCAACATTACACCATCACAACTGTCAAAAGTCAAAAGTGTTGCCTACTTTCGACAGTCTCGTCGATTTTCGTAAGCGTTCGTTTGGGATGTGTGCCAACAAGCCGCCCACCTGTAGATGAAATCCTTGAAGAAAACGGCCGTTTGAGAGACGGCGTTGTTTTCACACGGCACATCCCAGAGCCGACCGAGAGCGGAGCGGATCCGCATACTTTATACTTTCTTTCTTTAAAAGTCAGGTCTGCTTCGGCTTCGGCAACAGGGCGAATATACAAGAAAAGTGCACGTTCGCGTAGTGGAGTTTGTGCGACGCTCTTTTTTATCTCACGAACCGCCGGAGTTGACGAAAATAATAATATGCGGTATTTTGAATTGAACGTTACCTAGAGCGGCGAATTCGGCGGTTTAGCTCGAGCTAGTGCAATGTGATGAAACACCGACGGTTAGTTCTGTGAAGTTGTATACGGGAGAAGTCCTCGCTAGCTTAGATCTGGCGTTTTTGACGCGAAAGGTACCTAAAACCTGACAGGTACTCGTCCATTTCGACGGCAATGGTACTTACGATGTATGGGTAAATAAACGTGTACGAGTCAGCTATGGAAAATATCGCAAACAATCTCGGACTGACTTTACCCGAGGTGAGTTTTTAAATTTTAAAACCTGATTTTTAACGACCTGTAACATACATATCGCGCATTGAATGCTTTATGGATGTGTCACTTCATCTGAAGGAGGAATTTTTCTCTCGCTATTGTTTATTTTCGTTTACAAGCGCGTATTTAAATAAATTGTATACGGGGTGTGTAATAAGTTTGGTACACGCGATGATAATTTCGAGCGCATTGTTCGTTTTTATTACTGTTGATAAATGTTCGATAATAATTTTTTAATTAACAAACTGAGGTTAACATTCCCTCCTATCGGCTAAAGAATTCCGTATTATCAGTGTTATTATTATTCATCGAGTGATTTAATATGCAATTCAAGAGGTTCAAAACCAATTCTAAATCACTATACTTCAACATTTCAACGGCACAACAAGCCTGGCTTTTCACTAACCCTCCTTGTACGAGTATAAGCCCTAAGGGCTCATTCATCGTTCCATTTATTTCTTATTTTCATCTGAATTCCTTTCGACGTTCCGGCCGAGCGATTTAAAGATTTCCAACCACAACCGAAGAAACGCGGGTATTAAAAAAAAGGAAAGAAAAGAGAGGAAAAAAAGGGTTGTCGCTCCTGACGACCTTGGAAACAGTTACACCTGCTCTTCTCTTCTTATCATCCTTCGAACACGAAATCATCTTTCATGCCTCTCTCGAATTATTCGTACTTATAGTAAGTTCACGATAAATCGGCGATGACGTCACTCCGTGTTTGACATTTTCTCGCTTTGATGTTCTATAATGAAATAGTAGTAGGTATATTTTTACCACGATGCACCTGTTCCCATACGTTTTATTTTATTATATCCATACTATTTTTAATGGAACTAATTTCAACTCGACTTCCTGGGCGTTAAATTTACGAGACCCCATTAACATGACATAGTAAAACAATTGTAAGTTATTGGGCCGGTAATGGTAATTTCGGGTTTCACATCAAACAGGCCGTGATATTTGAGAACTCTGTTCCTTGTCAATTTTACTATTAATGACATTCGGGAACTGTCACTTTTATATTATTTTTAATCGATTGAATAATCGATTAAAAAGATCTATAGTACAAAAATCGATGCACAAATTCTCACGTATTATGTCGATAATAATTATTATTAATTTAATTTGCAGTATTTTCTTCTTTAATTAAAGCACTTCAGAGTAGAGTAGAGTAGAGTAGAGTAGAGTAGAGTAGAGTAGAGTAGAGTAGAGTAGAGTAGAGTAGAGTAGAGTAGAGTAGAGTAGAGTAGAGTAGAGTAGAGTAGAGTAGAGTAGAGTAGAGTAGAGTAGAGTAGAGTAGAGTAGAGTAGAGTAGAGTAGTTTCAAAGTTAATTCAGAATAGAGTAGTTTCAGAGTTGATTAAGAGTAGAGTAGAATAAAGTAGATTCAGAGAAGAGTAGATTCAGAGTAAACTAGATTCATAGAAGAGTCGATTCAGAGTAAAGTGGCTGTATAGTAGAATAGATTCAGCGTAGGTTCAGAATAGAAAATAAAACAGTAGCATGAGAAACATGTAGAGACAATAGAAAATAACGATTTATCCAGATATATCGTAATCGAATGCGTTCCAATAGGAAAACAATTCGTTGTGATGTGTGATTCAAGCGGCTTGTTGAATATAATATTTTTTTTCCGAATACATAACAAGGCGCAGGAAACGTATGTATTTTGTTGGGAGTGTCTGCGAATACCTTCGACCGTGAGCGTTCCGTATTCGTTGTGTTGTGTGCAAATGCAACATTAACAAGAATGCGAACGTGTCGAACGTTTTCACCTAAAATTATCGTAAAAGAAGTGAACGTAAAATCGAAACGTCTAATTATTTTCGCCTAATGGAAAGTTGAAAAATTAATGTTGCTGTTTTAATGTTGTTAATGCAGGGCCGGTTTGGAGACATTCTTTTATAATCGCCTCAAATACGTTTGTTTGAATGTACTATGAATTTCTGGTGTTGTTAACATCCGAATCCGGTCGTGTTTTTATAATTTCTTTCCACATAAAAACGCATAAAAGACATGTTAGGTACTTGTTGGGAATTACGAGAGGCTTTCGTTTGAAAAATTCCTCGGCATTCTTCGTGTTTAATTTGCGCTCGTAATAATCTGGAAATAATTAATGGAACGATTTAATTTACATTTTTTTCGAATTAGAAATTAACTTCGGATTTTAATAAATAATTTCAAACTCGTTTAGCTACACACACATGTAAAAATTCGTATTATCGAGATTAATCCGAATAAATTATTCAAACAATATTTTTATGGAATTTTCAAGTTGCATGAAATACACATCTGCTCGAAAATCGACCGGTCCAATCAAGAATTTAAATTTCTTATTAATGTCGTGTTAATTGAACTATTATTAGTTGAAAATTGCTGAAATACCAGTAATAGACATCAAATTACTCGGTATTAATTATTCCTATTGAATTAATAATTTGTACGTTAGCAGTCATTAACGTTACGAGGACGGATCAATAAGTTATCGATTTGATTAATTTCATTAAAATCTGTCGACGGATTTTTCGATATGCAATTTTCAAACCGAAGAGACGCCAATCTTCATTCCGCCGGACTAACCAGATGGCGAAACTATTCCATTAACAGGTGGAATTGATTATTCAAATTTTTTAAATTAACATTTCGAAGTTTCCAGTTCTCATTAACAGCGTGGGCCGGGGAATAACAAACAGCCATAAATAATGCGATACGGCCATTTAATTATTTCGCAAGGATTCTTTCTATATGCTATAGTCGCATCCAAAGGAGCATAAAAATGGTCGTGCGGTGCATTCTTTCGAGTATTCGTAATTTCGATTTCTCAGAAATTACTCAGATTTATACCGTTTTATGTTAAAAATAATGTTGGGTATCTACATATTTTTCTGAATAAAAAATTAATACCTAGTTTCTCGGTATATGATATTTTTATTCAACGCCGAAATTCCACGGTCTATGATTTATTGACCTCGCCCTCTCCTTTGTTCCGATGATCCCTTTTCCAAGGTCGGCCCGATGAAATTATGGCCTTGTCCGGTTCGAATTTGTTATTGTTTCCTTTCCCAAATTTTCTAGCACAACGCCCGGCCCGTGTAATCGGTTTACACTAAACTATCGAAAAAATTTTAATCCCTCGATCAAGGAGAGATCGAGGAGTCTCGCGTGAGAGAAGATTTAACGGCTACTTAAAATTTTTAATCTATTTCTTGAGAGATTAAAAGGGTAGTTTAATCGTATAGGTGAATGGAGAATAAATAATAAAAGTAGAGAGAACTGTAGGTTCAGAGTAGAGTAAAGTAAATTCAGTGCGAGTAGATTCAAAGCAGATTAAGAGTAAAATAGAATAAAGTGGAGTAGATTCAGGCTATATTCAGAGCAGAGTAGAGTAGATTGGAGGCGTGTAGACTCAAAGTACAGTAGTGTAATGTCCTCTGACAGAACCTTTTAGGATCAAAATCTAGTCCATCTATCTTGCGTCTAATTTACATCGGTTCGTCTTGGACTGGGATAAAAATTTTTGCGCGGACTGCGTAGTAAATGTGTAGTTAGTTATAAAACGGCGATCGTTGGTCGGTAATTAATCGGTGAAAAGAGCTCGGTGCAGCGGAAACGATCCCCTCAAGGTTCCCGTTCAGCCTCGAAGTGCTCTCGTTATATATTTTTCTGCTCCTTTTTTTTTCTCCGAAGCGAAAGTGGCGTAATTAAGCGACGATCCGGGGGGACGTGCGATAGATAACGGGGCATCAAAGCGGAAAAATACGGCCGTTTCGCCGTTCGATGGTCAAGATAAAAGAGACGTCGAATGAGACAGTTGCGTCGATTAGTCGTTCGGTTATTGTCTATTGTCCGACGGAGCGTTATCGAATCCAAAGATTTTTAGCGATTTTTTTTATCGTCTCGTCCGTACCGCCCGAGGGAGTACGTCGGGTAGTATATTGGGAGTATTTCCCGAAAAAAAATACTCGTTTTCCTCCGTATAGCTCGACTATTTTTGCGCGAAAATAGATCATCTATTTTCGACGGGCGGTCTCGTTTTGTTCGTCGCTCGACTTCTCCCGTCTATCGACTTTACTTTGACAAGTTCAAAGTCGTTAATTCCCCGTCGCTCCACCCGTCGGTTTTTTTTTACCTCGATTCCATCGCGACTAAATGCCCTGTTAAGTGTTTTGTAAGATGATATAGCGAAACGTTAGTTAACTGTAATCCTCGCGTATGTAATTTTACTCGATTGAATTGAGCAATATAAGCTCGGTTATTATAGGTAGTAGATTATATTAAACTTTTATTATTATTATAATACTAATATTTGAGATATTATAGAAAGTTTATTATAGGTAAAAAACGTTAAGTTTCAGTTACTCAAAATTACTTTGTGGTATAAATGAAATTCGCAATTGGCTATTTATCTGATGGCTATTCGTTTATTTTAAGTGTAGGTATCATTGGCTTATGAATCGGGATTTTCTATAGCACCTTCGGCTAGAATAGCATTTGAAAAGAAACAAAAACTCTACTTCCAGGTTCGTTTAAAAATAGTCGGCGCGTCGTAAATAGATTAACAGATCGGATTTACTACAAGGGAAGTTGATAAATATAATTAGTTATTTGGGCATATTGGGTAGTAAATAAAGTTATTTTGGTACTCATCCAGATCGTCTTTTAATGCCTCGTAAATTGTTATAAATTAAAATTCGGTCCTCTGTACTTATCTCCACCGTTTCCAATTAATATCACGGCGAAAAATGCTTGAAATCTCATGGAAATCTAATGGAAATTCCAAGCAATTCAGTCGGAACCGATCGAAAACGGTTTTGCATGTGATTTTGCGGCTTAGTACACGTTGCATTAAAGGCCACGAAATTAAAATCTCCTTTCTCCGCTGCTAATCCTTGCATAACACCTCTCACTCTGACGTTCTGAAGCGAACGGAAAATTGAGCGATTTAATTCGATCGATAGCAAATGGAATTATTCATGCCGGATAATTAGTTGCTTAGACATTATCGAGTAATTCCCTTCTGTTGTCGCTCGTTTTGAATTTACGTTTATCTGTAATTGATACAAATTTAAACGGATTTAATGCGGGCGAAAAATCTCGGTCGGGCCGACAGGAAATGTCGTTTTGTCACCTAATAAAGGTTCATTGAATTTATTATTATTAATATTAGGGACGCATCAGTTACAGAACTAATGGGTTAATTAAATCAACTCTTAGAATTGTTTACCAATTTACGCGTATATTTGTTTTCTCTTTAATATTTATAACACGAAAAGTTGTTATTACGTACCCTTGTTTGGTATAATTCGTTCGTTATTTTTGTTTTATTCATATTTAATTAGACGTATCGGTGAGTATACGAGATGGCGATAAAACATGCAATGAATTTCGAATTATTCGGGGTGAATATCCTGGCGGAGAATAGAATCGTAAAAGCTAGAATTTTCAGAAATGTTGCAAAAACTCGCTGTTAAAATGCAAGCTAAATGGAATTTAATAGTAAACCTTGTATCACGTGAAATTAGTAATAAAAATGAGCGTTTAATACCCAACAAATTACTTCCTGATTTGCACCATGATAGAAAAAAAAACCAAGTAATATTAAACACAATAGGTCAAGTCTATCGGGCTTGTACATCAATATAATTAGGAAAAGTAAAGTATTTTAAACAGACGAGGACCGTTAACATTCTCTCCGCTTAATTAATAATTACTGCACTTTTAATTTATCTACCATTGTTGGCGTTATTCTGGCAATTTTGTGCATCAACGCAAATTACGTGTGTATAATAGAATGAAAAAATAAAGCACCATGACCTTCCATTATTCGCACAAAGACCTCTAATTACCCGCGGACGTAACCCGATAGGTTTACTCCTTTATTACATTCGAATTCCTTCATTCACACATTTTAAACGAGTAGTATACAACAAGCCATTGTTTACGATTCCAAAGGCGTAATGTTTTATGGTAATTTCAGTTGGTTGCGGGCCGGAATCTCGCGGGGAATTATTAACTTTTTCCTTTTTCTCGACTCCTACAGCTCCGCTTAACACTTATTTATTACAAGTCAAATAATAACTACAGTTTTGTTTACCAAACAGTAATTAGACTATTTGTTTTCGAGAAGACTCTATTATTCGTAGGCGCGATATAATGCTCGTTTCAAACGGTTGTTGATTATGAATGCGAATTAATTCGTTGATTAAATAAGAACCGGTAGAGTTTGGTTAAAAATCGAAAAATCTTTTTCTTAAAAATAATATAAAAAGGTGAACGACCTCGGGGACTTTCTTCGGCATATTCAAATACGTAATCGAGAATTGAGCGAGCGAGCGCGAGAAGTTTCTCTCTTAAAAGCCCAGGTGAAAATGTCACGATTGGTAAATCGGTATGCGAATAATTTATGTCGCTGTTTATACTAAATCCCAATCGATTCGCGTGCATATTGCCCAATGCACCCCCACGTCCTTACATATTTACTCGTTTTATAAAATTTCGAAAAATTATAGTTCGCCGATAAACGAACTAGCCGATTCCGATTCCACAAAGAAAGAAATCGTAAAAACTCATCGTCGCCTCGACCTTGAATCCGAAGCAGTCTCTTTTTTTTATTTTATTCTCGCGACAAACACCGCAATGTTGTCTAATCTGTATCGCTTGAAGAAATTATTCAACTCGAAGATCGGCGGTAGTAAATTGGCCGCTGAAACATAGAGTAGAGTGGAGTAGATTCAGAGTAGAGTAGAACAGAACAAAGCAGAGCAGAGTAGACTAAAATAGTGTGGAAGAGAGAAGAGTAAGGTGGGGAATTCTAATTTCTATAATTTCTTGAATAATAAAAATCATCAAAAGAATTCTTTGTGGTTATTTTGCGGGGACTCTACCCCAATTTACCTCCCAGATAAAAGAACCTTTAATTCACCGCGCCCGATTAAAATCTACAATCCCTTTTGCGCCCAATTTACAGACATCCGTTTATCTCAAGACATCTGAAAGTAACTTATTTTGTCCAACAAAGTACCACAAAGTAAAGCTCTACATTTCTGAATTTTAGGATAAAATATTCCAAGAAATATAACGAAACTCCCTCGACAATTCCTTTAGGAAAACGCCTCGTTATCAACGCTTTCAACAAATGATATTCCCTTTTTCGTTCCAGGAACGCGGATGGGAGTACAAGCAAATATGCGTGACGAGAGTCCCGGGCTACGGATTCGGGATAGCGGTGTCGGGGGGCCGGGACAATCCCCATTTCGCCTCGGGCGATCCCAGCATAGCGGTCAGCGATGTACTGGCATCGGGACCGGCCGAAAGGCTCTTACAGTAAGATCTTTTACACCGTCAAATTTCTTCAACAGCTCTAACGATATTCAATTCCTCGTTTAGAGTGAACGATAGGATAATATCGGTGAACAACATCTCCCTGCAAAACGTCGACTACGCCACCGCCGTGCAGGTGCTCCGGGACTCCGGCGATACGGTAACTTTAGTGATAAAACGACGAACGATACAGCACAATCACGCGCACAGCGCCTCGTTCAACGGGCCGCCGTTGGTGTGCCTGGGCACCCATTCGCTCTCTACCAAAGTCACGCTCACCAAAAACTCCAAAAAAGAAGGTAAACGAACGATCATGCAAACGCAACAATCGCTTAACCGATATCTCGTAGATTTCGGCATCGTCCTCGGCTGCAAGCTGTTCATCAAAGACATATCCTCGAAGGCGAGAGACCAACTGTTGAACACCAACCAATCGTTAGAAATCGGCGATTTCGTGACCAAATTGAACAACACCAATTGCAACGACGCCATGTCGCTGAAAGAGGCCAAGAAGATCATCGACAGCTGCAAGGATAAGCTGCAAATAACCGTCGCCAGGGAGGCCGGCTACAATTCGAACGTCTCCCATCAGACCCAAAGCTCCATCAGCACCACCGGCGCCGTAAATAATTTCTACAAAGGTACATTACTCGAAATACCACACCTAGAGAAAGTCTCTAAACTAATCTATTTAGGGGACGATTACCTGACGACCGGCCAGAGTTACTCCAACCAGAACCTGTACGTCCAACCGCCGACGAGGAACCCGAATTTGAACCAGAACGGCGGCTTCGAGGAGAAATTGGACCCGAACAGCGGCCCCAATTCGCTGCCCGACGAGAAGAGCAACCTCGCGCCGAGGGGCCGGTCCCGGGGGCCCCTTTCGGAGGCTAATCTCAACCAACTCGAGAACCGAAACAGCATCGCGGGCTACGGGGTTTTGAAGGGCAGAGACGAACCGCCCCGGCCGCCTCCGCCGAGGGCCGAAGGTACTCGAATCGAACGTTAAACGCAGTAAATTATAAATACTTTTTGAATAGATTACTACAGCAGTCGTAGGCAGATTTACGAAGACGATCCCATCGTACAGAAAACCAAGCAACCCGTGTACGTATTAGCGTTTGAATAATCTAATTTTATTACTAATTTATCCATTGAACAGCCCCGATGCTCGATTCATAACATTCCACAAAGAGGGCTCCGTAGGCATCAGACTGACCGGCGGTAATCACGTTGGGATTTTCGTAACGGCCGTACAGCCCGGTAGCCCGGCCTCGTTGCAAGGACTACAGCCAGGCGATAAGATTCTAAAAGTAAGCAATCAATATGTACTAAACTAAAAATTATATAAATCTTTGCATTGTTTTCGTCTCAGGTGAACGACATGGACATGTCGGGCGTAACTCGCGAGGAAGCGGTCTTGTACCTACTAAGCCTGCAGGACAGGATCGAACTGATCGTACAGTTCTGCAAAGAGGAATACGACAACATAGTAGCCTCGCAGAAAGGGGACAGTTTCTACATAAAAACGCACTTTCACTACGACAACGCGGCCAAAGGGGAAATGCCCTTCAGATCCGGTGATATATTCCATGTGATCGATACTTTATACAACGGAGTCGTAGGCTGTTGGCAAGTGTTTCGAATAGGTAAAAGGCCTTATTTCATATTATTCTTGATACTATAAAGCGTTGTTGAAGGTCGCAACAATCAGGAGGTGCAGAAGGGCATCATCCCGAACAAATCGCGAGCCGAAGAGCTGGCGACGGCGCAATTCAACGCCACTAAGAAGGAAATGTCCGCCAACGAGTCGAGAGGCAGCTTCTTCAAGAGACGAAGGAGCTCGAACCGTCGATCGAAGAGCCTGGGTAAAGAACACTGGGACGACCTGCTGTTTTCCGATGCTGTTTCGAAGTTTCCCGCTTACGAACGGGTCGTGCTCAAGCATCCCGGTTTCACCAGGCCCGTGATCATGTTCGGTCCCATAGCCGACGTCGCCAGGGAGAAGTTGCTGAAGGATTTCCCCGATAAGTTCATATCTCCGCGTAAGTGCATCGAGAAACCTGATGGAATTCGTTGGATAATTCGGTGTTTTCCAGAGTTGGATCCGTCCGATACGAACGGCAAATCGAGCAAATCGCTGCAAAACGCCAATATAATAAGACTGTCAGCCATAAAAGAAGCCATATCGACCGGAAAGCACGCCTTATTAGACATAACTCCTAACGCTGTAGAAAGATTGAATTACGCTCAAATGTATCCCATCGTGGTGTTTTTCAAAGCCGAAACGAAAATCGTTATTAAACAACTGCGCCAAGGTTTGCCTAAGTAAGCACGAAAGAAAATCTCTTTAGCGAACTTGCTATTCATTTCTGGTTGTTTTCATTTGTAGGTCCGCTCACAAAAGTTCTAAAAAGCTCCTGGAGCAATGCCAGAAGTTAGACAAAGTGTGGGGCCATATATTTAGTGCCATGATAACGCTCAACGACAACACCGATACTTGGTATCGCAAAGTTAGAGAGATAATCGACAAACAACAAACGGGAGCCTTGTGGATGTCCGAGAGCAAGGTAAAAATCGATCAATAACAGATGGTTAAAGGGATACTTCAAGCATAGGAAACTAATTAGCAGGAGTACCGTTGGTGGTGGTGGATGCTTAATACATATTAGTTTGTTTTCCAGGGCTACGACTTCTTTACCGACATTTACTTCTGTTCCGTACCTCGCCTTTCCAATTCCCTGCCTCACAAACCCCGCCAATCGAGGAGCCGTGCGAGGAAACCGGCTCTATCTATGTACAGTTCACCCCAATTCGTCCACCGCACGACACCCTACCGTTACCCCTCCGAACACTACTCCTACTCCGGCAACTTTTCCAATCTGTCGAGGATATCCAGCGAAAGTAGCATTTTACACGAATTCCAATCGAAAGCAAGTAGTAGTCGTGTGTTTTCTAACAGTTTTGGTTCGTTCGATACGTTGATTGATACTAACGCGCATGAGGGTGTAGATTCCGATAGGAACAATAACAACAAATCCGCTAACGAACCGATTTATTACGATGTTCTGCACAACGATATCGAGGGTCTGAATCCAAGAAGGAACCTAAGGTACTTTCCCATCGAAGAAGAAGTATTCGGAGAGGTGTGAAACTCGTAACACTAACCTGAGGGCGTTCATAACAATTCATGCTTGTTTATCTTACATTTAACTAACGTTTTAATCGTGTTTGTCGCATTCGTTTCTAATCCATCTCGTATCCATCTCGTGATTAAACTGTCGTTGCAGCCCGAAGAATCGCTCTCCGACGATTTCCTCTTTCCGATGTCGTCTCTCCGACTATCCTACGCCAGCTCGCCCGAGAGCGATTTGGAACACAGCCCGGGGCCGCCCACCTCGCCCCCTTTGACCGGCAACGCCGGCGGCAACCCCGGCAGATTGACCAAGGCCAGCTCCGATCCCAGCGTCGTCATGCCCGACAGCAGCACCGCCGACATCCTGCCGCCCTATCAGGTAAAACATTACTCTCTACATCATTTATAGAGGATGATACGATGTTGTTTTGTAGCCTAGTTACGATACGAGGTACGGTTTCGCTAACCAGGATCCCCAACAGGCCCCTTCGGACAATCAACTGACCCCCACGGATTCGCCGTTGATCAAGGAGGCGCCGTACGCTCTGTCCAATCAGGATATACCGGGCGCCGGCGATTCGCACGTCCTCTACGGGAAAACTCAGAATTACAACGATAAAGTGCCCGCTTATCCCGCGGATGCTTACCAGAAACCGGATTATCCCAAAATAACGGACGCGCGACACGACATTTACAATTCGCCGGATAGGAAGTACGTGGCCTCTAACGTCGCGGCTTTTCAGCGAAAGGTGGCTGTTGTAGTAAGAGATTGGTTTGTTTTAGAAACGAATTCAACGGGGATAAATCTGTTCAACACAAGCGGCAAATTAGCAGCCTGCACGGTGGGTACAATCACAGTAAAGGGCATAGTTTGGTGGAACAGAGCCCATCGAAAGAGGGCGTTTACGGGCAAGTGCCTGAGCTTCCTCCTAGAGTCGATAGAGCTATCAAACCTATGGGGTTATTGACGACAACGAATAAAGTAACGAACGGGTATGGGTGATTAGATTTATGCTGATTGGATTGTTGTGATATGATATGTTTCGTAGGAGATCAGCGCACGAAAGATTGTTCGGTACGAAAGCGGCTCCGCACGGCGAAAACGCCGACCAGAACATGAACGAGAACGGCAATTTCAACAACAAAGCCGGCTCGTTGGACAGAAGTCAAAATTCTAAATCGGTAAATATCCTCGTGTTTCGTTCGAAGTTAGTCTAATAACGTTATTTCTCTAAAGGATTCCCTTTCGAGTTACGACTCGTACAACAAACAATCGGCCGGCCGGATCGGCCCGAACGCTCACGACGATCTCAAAACCACCCTGTCGAAGATAGATCCGTCGGGCAACGTGCAAAACAGCCCTTCGAAGTACAACGCGCGCCCGAGATGGGACCAAAACTCGCACAGGCACGGCTCGAAAATGGACCTCAAGTACGGCCCGCCCGCGGGCGAACAGCACTTGGACAACAGCCCGCGCAATTCCAGGGAAATGGGCAAAGACAGTCCGATGGACCCCGCCAGTCCCAGAGGATCCGTCGAAAGGGACATATACAGATACTCGAAGTCGCCGGGCAAGCAAACCGCGCCCGGCAAGTCCATCATCGAAACCAAAACCGACTACGGCAAATACAGTCGCAACAATTCCACGCACCACAACCAACCGCCGCCCGAATACACGCGCATCTCCCACCAAGATCTCAGAGAATCGATGCTGAGCGTGCACCAACAGTCGCCCATAAGGAGCCCCCCGATGCACCACAACGGCTACGAACAGGCCCCCGCGAACCACATGGGCCCCGCCAACGGCAACACCTACAAACCCGTCCCGCCGCCCAAGCCCAAGAACTACAAACCGCCCTACAAGCCCCAAGGCGGATACGGCGGCGGTGAAACCGCCATCCAACCGCCGCCGGTCTACCAGCACAACAAGAGCCACAGCAATCCCGTCGTATGTATAACAAAATGCGCTGAATTTATACGTTAGTAGAGGCCGATTAGTAACAAATTTTCTGTCTTTTTTGTAGGATCAACGGGCGCAGAACATCAATCTCTCGCAGCACCACAATCACAACTACTACTACAACACGCCGCCTCACAATTACCACGCGGCGGGCGATCCGAACGCGCGTTACGGCCCCGGAGGCGGCGGCGGCGGTCACTACGACATGGCGCCCCCTTACGCGGAGTCTCCGAGAAGGCACACGAGCATTTCGTACGCCAGCCGGAGCGAGATAACGCCCATAGCGCAGCACCTAGAGGGCGGCTACGGCGACGTGTTGGAGACGAGGCCGCCCATCGTGGATTTGCAGGGGTCCAGGGAGCAGAGGGGCTCGGCCTTCGAGCTGTATAGGAAGCCAGTCGGGCATAATTTAAGGTGAGTTTTATTTGTAAAAATTACATTCGAAACGTCTGCACTTTTAGGCGCGTATGTGATGATTGTAATGTTTTTTTTTTTGTAAATGTGTACACTGGTTGCCTTATTTTATTTGTGTCGTTGTTGTTGTGTTATAATTTTAATGTTCTTGCACAGGATAAGCTACAATTTGGACATATAAATGTTGTTAATGGTACGTCTTGATGGAGTGTTTAATTTTAAATTACTAACGGCTTGCTTGGTTTGGCTTGATTTGAAGGTGTTTTTTTTTTTTGTTTGGTTTGAAGCACGGTCGTATATTTTTAAGGTCTGGAAACAGAGGTCGAAAAGTGGCCCGGTAATTGAAGATAAAACAGGGTTCCTAAAATTGCCGCTAGGTGGCGATAGTGTAAAGGATCACGGTTTTTATATAGAATTAGCATTAAGAGAGGTTTCAATCAAACTAAAAATAGATAGAAAATATGAAAATATACTTAAATCAGCGATGATTTTGTTGTTAACATCATGCCTCGCGTATCTTCGGTTAATATATTTCTCCATTTTCTCCTCGAAATGTCAAAAAATAATTTTTTGAAGTTTTGACAGTTTGAACTGTCATCTGACAACCGCGATTTATATGTCAAATCATAGGCTGTTTCCAAATCTTAGAAATATATGGTCGTAGTTTGAAGCTTCATTTATATTTTTCTTGTTAATGTAAATAACACTTCACGTTTATGTAAATAATAAGCGCTACTAAATTAAAAAAAACTAAAGGAATCGAAGAAACGATAGAGAACAAGCGAGAATATAAGTTGTTGTGTTTTCTGTTTATTCAAGGGGCATGGTGGAGAGGCCGGTTTTGTACGGATCGCAGCCTAACATAGCTCAAAAACTAAACGCCCCGTCGCCATCCGCTACTAACTCGCCCAAAATAACACCCAAACTAACAAAAACGCAATCGTTCAAACACCAGAAGAGCGAGGGGTTCACGCCGAAGCTCTTCCGCAAGCTCTCGTTCGGCAGGAAAAGTCGCGAAGGTACGCCGAAGGCGGCCAAAAAGTTGTCGTTGCAGGGCGACCCAATCGACGAGAATCGGATTATGCAGGACGTCAACCGAAACGCTAGGTTAGATTTTTTATTTTTATTTTCTTCATTCATTCTACGTCAATAAATTTTAGTACCGCGAGAGCTGGGACAACGTTTATTACGACAGCGATTGTCCCAGGTCTTGTGTGTCCTGCAGTTGTAATTGTTATTTGATTGATGGTTTTGTTTCGGTGTGTTGGTGCAGGGATATGAGGCCGAGCAAGAGGGACGTCACCTCGGCTACCGTGGGACACGGTGGGGCCAGTTTGGTCAACGAGTATTGGGGGGTTAGTTTGGACGTACCGCCCGGGGCGATACCGAAAGGGGAAGAGCGGCTCATTTATTTCGTTATATCGGATCCACGATTGTGCGAAAACACGCCGCCTCTAGATCTAGATAATGGTAAAAAAATATCACACGTTTTGTTTTTTTTTGCTTACGTTTACGGATAACCAGTGTACATATGTTTGGGGTATAATTGCGTTGTTTAATTTCGATTTTTTTTTGGGTTTACAGGTGAAACTATGCTGTCTCCTTTAGTAATGTGCGGTCCACAAGGTAAGTGGTATATTTTTCTAAATTTTTACCATTTTAATAAATGTTTTGTCAACGTTAAGGTACTGAATTTCTGAAACCTGTGATTCTCAATATCCCTCATTACGCCAATACTCTACCAAGTTTGGGTATATCATTGAAAGCGACAGATTCCGAACAAGATATCCATACAGATTGGGATAATATTCTTCTACCTAGCAATCATGCTGCTAATAGCGTAGCTGTTAAAGTAGATCATTTTTAATTGTTTTAGTACTTATTTTATTATATTTTTTATTGTCTTATAATTTTTGATGGAATATTAATCTATCGAAATCGAACGAATAGTTAGTTTGTAGTTACATTTTATTAACACCTTATTTTGCTCAAGTAAAATCAATTTAGGTACGGCTTATTACCAATTTCTTTCATACAACACGAATCTCGAAATTGACTGATTTTCCTTTTAATTAATTTGTATGGATTTTTAAATGTTATTATGTTTATATAGGATATTGTGATTTTTTGATAAGGTATTTTTGTAGTTTTAATTGTTATAGTTAATCAGCAATTTTTTTAGAAATTTGTATTTTTATGAATGCCCTGTATAAAATAAGGTTATTGTTACCTTGCTTTGCACAATAACAATTAGTATTTTTAAGTTAATTTTAATCATCAATTTTGTTGCGACTTTAAAATATATCGTTAGTTAAGTTTTTTTCCTAAGGGCCGAGAGATTACTCCCGGTGATTGATCTTTCGGCCCTAAATATTTTTACATTTTTAACTTTAAAGATTTTTTTCTGTAGATTCTCTAAATAAAATATTCGGAAGGGTAATGATCTGCTTAGTAAAATTACCGTTTCGTATAAATTAATTCATTTTATTTGTTGTTTGACACATAAAATTCAGAAATATATATATTTAAGAAATAATTTTGTGTATATTATTAATAGCTATGAACATATGTAACACACACAAACTTATCTATAGCTTAGAAATTACAGTCAATAACAGCATTCTTACATATTTTGAGATCACAAAATATATAATAACAAATTCAACAATCTTCGACAATATCTAGTTGTAATCTAATCTGTGTGTCTAAGATATTGCTAAGATAAAAACTTGAAAAATGGCAGTTCGAAATATTATTACACCTAAATATTAGGAACAATTTTGAATTTAGATTCTTTAATTTTTAATATAAAAACGCACACAGACATGTATTACAACGCGATATTTATCTATTTTTTTTGTACAACATCCGGTTTTTAAAATGAGCTGCCTTATGACAAAAAACAAACTTGCAGATTTCCAAAATACTGAGTTGAACATTCAAAATCAAAATTATCACATTATTTTCAACAAAAGAAAATATAAAAATATGTTATAAAATTAAAATCATTAACAAAAATAATCATACACAAATTGGTGAACAAGCTAAAATAATTGTACATCAATTTACAGACTAAATACAAAACGTCACACAAAACCTTGTCAACAATAATTAATCGATTTTTTTTGCGAATCAAATATTTAAATGGCAGTCTACCTTACAAACTAATAGTAATCCAAACGTAAGAAAACCAACTCAAATTAAGATGAAACAAAAAAAGTGGCAGTAGACGAATTTCGTTCATTTTATAATCTATTTTATCGAACAATTGTGTGATTTTCCATATTTTCGCTGTAAGTTTTTCACTCATCCTTTCATAAATGTATTATTTTACTGTAAACAATGGGCCTTTAAATTCTCTATTGCATTTTTAACACATATTTATTACAAAATTTCTGATATGCGTCTACGTACGTCGCTTAACGACTCGTTCGACGTCTATACAGGGCATCCCAAACCCAATTATTACTCACGAATAAACGAAACGAAAAAATCAACGAATAAATCGCCGCGTTTTCCAAAAAAGACAACGAAAACGAGGCGTGAAGATAATGTATTACTTTGGGCTACGCTGTATACAAAAATATGTATTTTATTTTCTACGAACGCAATTCTCCCGTTAAAAATCTCACTCCGCCACAATTCGTTTTGCGTTTGTAGAGAAAATAGTGCACGTAACTCCCCCGTAAAGTTCCTTTTACGAACTCGTTACGTATCATACTAGTTTATTAAATAATGATTGTGTTCGATTTGTACCTGAGTTCGAATTTCAAATTATTTGGTCGACGTTAAAAATGCAATTTTGGTCATTCGTTCACATCACATTCATATATATTTTTTTGTACAGGGCGTGCGCAAAATCAATCATTGCACCGAAGGCGGTTCAATTAAAGCTATTAGATAGCTTGTACGAAAAGTCGTTATAATTGGCAAGTTGTTTCATTCGTTTATTATTTTTTTTTATTTGATTGTATTAGGTAATATTATTTGAACCTTCGGTGTTTTTTGGGCGTTACCCTGTACATATAATTCTACCTTATATTATTAAATATATTATATTTCTATTTCGGATGCTTCGCATCCTGTTTTGTACTTTTCGAATCATAAAAAATATTTACCGAGTAACAATTCCTAACTATAAATTAAAACAATCGTAACAAGAACAATTTCGAAAAAAATCTAACAACTATTCATTTTTTTTTGTTTGTTCTCGAGAAATATATGTATATAATAGAAAATACGAGATGGTACAAAAGAGTTTTACGACATATTTTTGTTCAGAAATTTCAAAATATTCTCAAAATTCCGCGAAGGAAAAGCAAGCGTTCGATCGTCGTAAAATCCACTCTTTGTGATGTCTTCTATCTTACAAAAGCCTTATGTACAAAAGAAAAAAAGCGCTTTTCGGTACGCAAACCGAAGTATTCCAAACACCCTCGAAAATTGACTTGAAAAGTTTTTTTCCAAAACGAAGAAAAACCCGTGAAAACGTTAGGTAATTGCAAATACTCCAGTCTCATCGTAACAACATTCAAAATATAATATGTATAGGTACAATTCTACAATTTTTCATCGTTAATTTCTACCAAACTATTTCGCTATAGTACGACTTTCTCGGTATTCTGTTTTCCCTTTACAATATGTACAAGTGTATCCAAAAAATGTTGGTACGTAAAATATGTAAAAAAACGTACAAACTGCAAGAGATTCGATGGGAAAAAGCACACGACAAACGTTTCGATTATTCAAAAAAAGCACCAGTACTACGCTTCGACTTACGTTCGTTTTCCATAATCTACTCCAAAGGTTTTCATACGTAATTTTCGCCCAGAAAAATCGCCTTTGTGGTTGCTTTTTCCTCACGATCTCTCCTCGCGTTTGTCTTTTACCGCGACGCAATTTCGAACCTAATTTATCTAATATAGATAATAAAAGAAACAGCTCGAGCTCTCGATTTCGTTCGACGATTTCCGGTTCGTCAGACAACTCAAAAATCCAACGACGATAATTAAGAAAAATCCAACGTGGACACGATTACAGATCATTCGGGCGCTGTCTTTAACTTCACGTCCTTCTGCTCGCCCACGATGGCGATCACACTCTTTTGACATTCGTTCGAGATCTTCTCGCCCCCGTCCGCATCGCAAGCACCGTTCGCGAGGGCCGCCCCGTCGCCGTTCTCCGCGTGATTATGCCGATGATGTTTCAGCTTCAAAGCGTTCAGCTCCTTCAACAGCTCCACGTTCCTCTGCTCCAGCTCCTTCAGCCGTTCGTCGGTGACCCGAGCGTTCTTCGACAGCCGCTCGTTCTCCTTGCACACGCCCCGCAAATACTCCATCACCTTGTCTTTTTTACTCTTATCGACGTCCTTCAGCAGCTCCTCCAATTTGTTGATGTCGCATTTCTCGGTCTCCGAAGCGCTGTCTTCGGTATCGGTCGACAGCTCGATTTCCGGATTGTACTTCGCCGCCGATACGACGGGTTTGTCGTCTTCGGGCGGTTCCGTTTTCACCTCGGCGAACTCCTTGCCGTAGCGGTGCTTCTTGGGCAGCGCCGGCGGCGGCGCCAGCGCCACGTTCGGTTGGTAGGCGCCGCCGAAGCGCTCGCTCTCCGACGACGGGACGACGCGCTCCGGGTGCTGGAGCACCGGCGGATCGCCGGCGTACCGGCCCATCGCCGTCGCGTGCCGGATCTTCGACTCCTTGATGCTCTGCACGACCGGCTTGAAGGCCGACAGGTGCCGGTTGGGCGAGCACTCCTGCAGGTACTGGTGGATGTAGACCTGGTCCAGGCTGGCGTAGATCTGTTGCAGGTGTTGCACGTTGTAGGGGATGTGCGCCAGCGCGTTGTGGTACTCGCTCAGTTTCTGCTTCTTCAACGGCAGCTCGTGGTCTTTGATGATCTCCGCCACCGATGGTACCTGGAATCACACCAAATAAATATAAATAACCAATTGAATGTTCCAAAAAAAACATTGGATAGGTTAGTGTATTAAATTGTAATAAACTCTCAAACTCTCGGATCGTCGCGCGTAGGTCAAGGTCGACGGTAAAATAATCTACGAGTCTAACTAACTGTTAAACTACATTTTCTTCGAGTAATTATTATTCCGGCGATCACGTCAAAGGAATAGAACAAAAAAAATCGGCTAATAATGGCTGTTGGTCACGCGATCTTGCTCGTGTAATTACTTTAATCCCTTCGATACTTCCACCTAAACGGATCACAAATTCGATTGACAATATTGCGTCGAAATATTCGTACGCGATAATTCATTAAAGAAAAAAACCGCCCCCGAAACGTGTCCGATCGCCATTTACCCGCATAATCGCGCTCGACTACCGAAAAAATATGATTAATTGTATCCAATCCCGCACACACGCTTTCTCTAAACTACGACCATACAAAGCACAAAAGGTCCTTTTTACGCGTATGTTAATAGTCGCGTGCTGGGTACACCGGCGACCCTTAAAAAAATAAATACAGAAAAAAAACATTACCATTCTCTCTCCGACACCCTACCGGCGCGGTGCGTTTAAAGTGCTATTAACGAAATTAACAGAACAGAAAAGGAACGGTGAAGAAAAAAAAAACTACATTCCCATCGGGTATAGGCGAAGGATGCCGGGGGGGTTCCGTACACGGGAAGGGTGCGACGCTATTTGGGTCAGTATATAAAGAGCTTGGTATATGACGGATGGTCGGGAGAGAGGTCAGAAAGCAGTGAATAGGGGATTTTTTCGAAAGGGCTCGAAGAAGTCTAATCGATGGAATTCCATCGGACCTGGAGGAATCGATCCAACATTTTTGCATGACCTGGTTCTTTTTATAATTATTTTTTGTTGCAATGCGGAATGAAACTAGACAAAAGCGCAAAAATACATTGGCGAATTTTAAAGGAAGCGTGTTGAATAAGATTGCGGTCTCGTTGAGATGCAATTAAGCGATAAAACTAACAATTAAATCGCAAAAGTGTGTCAATATGTGTCGTTTTTCACACTCTACATGATCCTAGTGTGGAGCATCAATAATTGCTTTATACAGGGTGCTTTCTAAAAACTTTGATCGATCGCTTTCTTTGCATAAAAATCCGGTGATTATTCGTACGAAGAACGAACGTAAAAAATAATATAGCATCTTTAACACATCGTAAAAAAATGGTTCTCCCTCTCTCGCACGCACACTCACTGTTATATACATACGTAAACACAGAAAATAACATTGTGAATAGAGTCGTTAATAATCTAATTAGGCTTTATGGCCGATGGCGCCAACGTCACAGTCTAACTGTCACACGAGCGTTGTTGCCCGATCTATCAAACTCTCGGGGTTTCACTGTAAGGCATGAATTTTTGGTGAGAACGTGAGAATTTTGGAGTCATCGACAACGTCGCATTCGACCTAGAATTTGATTCTTTGTACACGACCGGGAGGAATTTCGTGTTCGGTCGGCGTTATTTTTTGTTTCGGGTGATTTAAGGCCGCTTCTTCGCGTACCATTCTTCGCCGCCGCCAGACATTATGGTAATGAATTCGGTTGTTTTTGTTCGCCGTGCGGACGTAATTTATGTTGCGACGGCGGAAAAGGTAAATTAAGTCGAAAACGTTGGTTTTTTTTTCGCGTTTAAAGTGGCACACGCACACACAAAGCGTTATAATTCCTCCCGTTGGCCGATCCGTCCCGTCCGGACGCGGGCGTTTTGGCGTTCGGCGATTCCGGAAAGTCGATTAAGCGGAAAGTTTTTTTTTTAACGTACGCTACAGTGAACTTTTTTCACTTCATGCGTAAGGGACCCGATATCGCGGTCGTTTATGGGTTTTTTAACCGGATTATCGCGAAAAAGCGCCCGCTTTGACTACAAATTCTCATTTTACATCAATTTTTTTTTAATTATTTACTTTCCAAGCAGCTTATTTATACCGCTTGTAACAGCGCGTTCAATCCCCAATAAGGGAGACATCAATGTCTAATAAAAAGAATTCGTTGAATACAGACAAGTGTTTAAAAACTAGCCCTAGACCTGTGGAACTTTTACCATTCCATTGTCTATGAGGCGATTTTATTCACCCCTTTTCTATTCCTCCAGGTCCATTCTTTTCGCGTGTTTTTTTCTAACCTTCTTTCTATGCAACATAAAACATTTAAAGTGTTTACAAAACCTTAATTATTAACGGCCAAACACACTTAAACTCTGACAAAGGAACGGAACGAGAATAGAATCGCTACCGAGCCAACATTATATACCAAGTGAATTTCTAATAATATAGCGCCGAAGCGCGAAACAGAGCCGTGCCCCATTACATTTAACAAAGGTAAATTATTAACCCTTATAATTATAATTTGTGAACAATTCTCTTCACAAGCTCTTCAAAAATTCTGAGAGCAGTTATGGCACAATTTTTGTATAAAAAACGCTAGGATTATTTATTAAAAAAATCACGGATTATACTCGCAATTCGATAGCAACAGTGAAACATATTGTTTGACAATTCCAACACAAAACAACCACTCGTAAACTATTGTCCAAATAACGATTCTTAAAATAAGGGTTCGACGAGGCGTGAAATTCCCAAAGTATTATAATAGACGCAAAAAAATAATATCTAGTAACAATAATAATAATAATAAATAGGATAATCTTAAGATCCTCATCTCTATCCGTCCAATTTTTTTTGTCTATTATTTCCTCTCTTCGTATACATGAATAGAAACCCATTGACCGGGGACTGGTCCAGTCGTATACACGATACATTCCCGGTACGTAATCCCGGTGTTATGTCCCTATTCTCTCCGGGCATTACGGCCGAATTTATGAAATAATAAGCTTTATGATATATGCAAAAATCCCGACCGGCGGCAACGCATCCGAAACAGGGGCGGTTATGGCTTTTCTTCTTATTACTACTATTTTTTTTTGTGTCCATACCGGCAGATTAGAAGACGAGAACTGGTGCATTGTGTTTGTAGTTCGAGATCCGGGCGATCTCATGCATATCTTATTTCGGTGTAATGCGCGACCTATACAGGAGGGAGAGCGGGATGGTTTTTTAGAAGGGCAAATTAGAACGCAGTCAAATAAGGGAGATATCATCGGTGTATAAAATCGTGCGATAGTATAAAAATTTCTACAGAATTGTAGAAAATGCCAGGAGGATTTTCGGGGTTTCCATGCCGAAAAGGGTGGAACGGCGCGGGGCGTGTGGGGGTGCGGAAAGCGCGGCGGCGGCGGCGGCGACGGTAGCGAGACGGAAAACACGGAGGAAAAGGCGGCGATCGCGTAGGGGTGGCGGCGGAATCCCCGCGTCTAGATGCAGACTAGCCGCCCGCCTACACTGTTGCCACCTCCGCCACACTCGCCCCGCAATTAACAACATCTCGCGCTCGAATCAATCGCTAAACTCGGGAAAAATCAATCGAACGACGCTCCGCCGCCGCCGCAAATTCCGATTTTCCAAGCGACCCTATACATTCTTCCGCCGTTTCGCTTACGCACGTGTGCCACCGGCAACGCCGCCCCCCGTCCGCAGTGCGTAGCGGCCGGCACGCAGGCGCCCACACCGCCCCGCCGCCGCCCCCGGAGGATATATCTACGTGGTATACGCGAACGGGTAATGTGGGGCATACGATCGTCGAAAATTTATGATACGGAACGGAAGGCACAAACGTCGAGCCTCGGAGATTTCGTACGTAAAGGTGGAGGTTTCGCTTTCGCTTTCCCTTTTCGCTATAGGGGGTGGGTTCTTTGGGAGTTCTATTAGAAGGTGGACGAGCCTACGTTAATTGCACGCGTTCGCTAGTACGGAGTTTTAGGAGCAACGAAAATTATCAAGTACTACATTTAGAGACATAAAAGTTCATATTTATAAAAATGAAGCATTTACTTTGAAGTAAAAGGTAGAGGCAAAAAAATGGTTCGAAAACATTATACAAAGATTGTAAACCTATAAAACCTTTCTGCTTTAAAGCAACAGCAGGGTCCTCGAAGCAAAACCTCTCTTCCTTCTCTTCTTTTTTCGCATATGCCTTAAAGCAATTCCTTCATTTTTTAAAGTAAAAGGTTTTGTGCTTCTTTCTATAAATAAGACCTACAGAGTATTGTAAGAAGCTCATCAACTTAACGATGACTATAAGAATCCAACAAATAAGGCTCGGATAATTAATTAGTAGAAAAGGAGTAAGTTGGGAGTTAATTTGTGCAAACGATCCAATCCCGTTTTCTACGACGTCGTGAAGGGTCAATTGGCGTAGCCGTCGAATCGTCGGGAAATTTAGGGGGGTCAAGAGTGTCTACTTTGCTCCGTTCCCGTTCGGAAAATCCTGATTAGGCAAGTTTTTTATTTTCGAGTTGCGACGAACGATGAATGTTAAAGCCCTTTGGCGCGATTAGAATCCTACCGAATTCGTTATGCAATTAATTATTTATTATATCGAGTATAACGAGGTTAACAAACGAAATCCGATTTCGGAATATTTTCCGACAATTATTAATTTCTGTATACGTATACGAGGGTATCGAAACAATTACGTAACGGATTTAAAATTGGGTTAAAATCGTGACTCATTTGACTCGCATATTGTTTTCGGAAGGAACGATATATGCATAATAAAAAAAAATGGAATAAAAATCCGGGTTTCGATAAACACAGATAGCCGTTTATAATAGTCGAGAGGTCAAAGTGCCGGACATTATCTGACTGTATACATGTTTTGAACGGCTTATTTTATATGAGAACTTTGAACTCCCATTGTCAAACATTCTCATTATTCTATAGGGAATGAATTATTCGACAAAGTGTATGTGTGCGTAACCTAAATAAAATGCACTTTTACAAAACAAAGCGAAATTCTAATCAATAATAACTGTCTGGTTGTTTTATTCGATACTTTTGAGCGATAAACAAGCGCATATAATAAAAAATATAAATTAGGAATTCGTCGAAAAAAGGTGCAGCGAGAAAAGTTCCAAGCTAAAGGAGGCGAAGAACGATCCGAAAAAAGGGATATACGCCGGCATATAAGCGTGTACATTCGTGCGTGTACACGTCCGCCGCTAAAATCGAGGCCAAACACGCGTCTCCCACAACAATGAACCCTCCGCATCGGCGAAAACGGGTACATAGAAGGCGGAAAAGGGCTCTCTCTCCTCGCCGTCGAAGCCGCCGGATATTCCGGGTATATATACGCGGTTCGCGATATAAGCGCCGCGACGCCGTCGGCCGACGCGACGGCCCTGCGACGACGTCGACGTGACCTAGATCGGCGCGTCACGCGTGTCTACAGCCCGGGGAGGGCGCGTCAATTGCACCGGCCCGACCGGCTCTAATCGCCGAGCGATCCCCGAGAAAATTGTTATTTTTTAATCGATGGAGCCTATCGGATTTAAAAAAAAATCTGCGAGTTTTTGAGGATGAACAGATCTTAAGAAATTGGTAGAGTAAGTGCGCCGAATATGGACCGGTCATTATAGTTCATAAAAATGATATACTTAAGAAAATGTTATTAATTTCAATGATTTTGTTTTTTTGGAGAATTTTATTAAGGTAGACTGGGGCAAATGTAAAAATGGGGTAAATGTAATATTTTTTACCTATTATGTTAATGTTTTTATTATTTTTATAGTTCTTTTGTGCATTAGACAGGGTTTGTATCTTATTTTTTCTTTATTATTTTGTAGCTCTGTTATTTCTTGAAATAAATAAATGAACAGCATATCAAATTTTAGAGGAACCAAATATTTTTTTACAATTACCCCATATATTTTTCTACATAATTATATTGCACTTTAGAACCGTTTGTTACATTTAAAAAAATATGTAAAATCGTTTTCTTCCTTTTTCAAAAAAACTTTTTAATACCTCGATTCTTTAGTTTAGGAAGTTGTGAATTTAATGCGGTATCAGCATTTCTAATAAAAAAAAATAAAGCCACATTTTAGGATTTAATTTGAACTATTCAAATTTTACAACCGATTTGCCTCAGTCTACCTTATGAGTTTTTTTTCACTAAATGGTTAAGAAAATGCTTAATATAAACTGCTCCACAAAAGTTAAGGAAGTTCGCAAATTTTGCGATTTTTTTAAAAGTTACAGACTTTTTGATCACCAAATTTTCAAATATGCGAAATTAAATGTTTTCTCTCATATCTGAGTGGATTTTTTGTCCCTACC